CGGTTGCTTAACTTTGGGGGCGGGTGTGATCGCCGACCTCTTTCCCATCGAGAAGCGCGGTCTGGCAACTTCTGTCTGGAGCATGGGTCCTCTAATCGGCCCTGTGGTTGGACCGGTCTGTGGAGGATTCATTGGCGAAACCATCGGTTGGCGTTGGGTGTTCTGGGTGCTTTTGATTGTTGGAGGCGTTATGTCGATCGGGATCGAAATCCTCAACCAGGAGACTTATGCCTCTGTTCTCATCAGGTGGAAGACCGAGCGCTTAGCAAAGGAGCTTGGTCGGGCGGACCTCCGCAGTGCCTACGCAAAGGAAGGCGATAAGAAGTCTGCCACAACGACGTTGAAGGTTGGCTTGATGCGGCCAATCTTGCTATTCTGCAAGTCGCCCATCGTCTTCCTGCTCTCAATGTACATGGCAGTGGTATATGGAATGCTTTACTTATTTTTCACGACGATTCCGTCAGTCTTCAAGAGCCAGTACGGATTCTCGACCGGGATATCAGGGCTAGCATACTTGGGCATCGGCGTTGGCTTTCTTGCCGGGTTAATATCGACCGCACTCACCAACGATCGGACCATGTTGAAAATGAAAAAACGCAACGGCGGCAAATTCGAGCCAGAAATGAGACTGCCTATGATGATTTTCTACGCTGCCTTCTGTCCCATCAGCTTCTTCTGGTACGGTTGGTCCGTGGAAAAGGATGTTCACTGGATTGTCCCCATTATCGGCATGATGCCCTTTACCTTCGGCATGATGGGCGTGTACCTCCCCATTCAAACCTATGTTATCGACTGCTACCCGGGCTACGCGGCGTCGGGCAACGCAACTCTCACAGCCTCCCGATCATTGGTGGGTGCGTTGCTTCCACTGGCGGGGCCGAAACTTTTCGCGACGCTTGGTTATGGATGGGGTAACTCACTGCTGGGATTCCTTTCATTGGCATTTGTTCCCATCCCCATTATTTTTTCCAGATATGGCAAAACCATTCGGGAGAAATACCCGCTCCAACTGTCATAGTTAGTGGCGGGCCACGCATGGGGGCGTGTGGGTCTCCCGCGGGTGTGCCTGGGGAAATTTTGACATTTTACGCCAAAGGAAAATTTAGTTCAATGAAAGCTGAGAGTGAAACAGCATACAAAGGGTACATAGACTGTGGATCCTACAAAGCCATTCCTGAAGAAGCAATTGGTCCAACACGTCTACGGCACATTGGCACATCTATAATTAGCAGGACGGCGCAACGTAGAAGCTCCACTTTGCTCTGCCTCAACGGTCTAGATCACGATGAAACACGCCCCTGATCAATTGGTCAAAGCTGTTTCAAAATTTCATGCCTTCACAAAATCCGTTTCACCCCGGATCCCATTCTCTTCTATCTCCTGAGTTCGTTTTCTTTTTTTCTCCACCGTCAATTTTACAAGACTCCGACCCGGTCCTACACTTATTGCGGACCCATCTTTTCTGATTGTTACAAAATCTCCAAAAAGTCGCTCATTATGACGGAAGATAGCAGTCCTCCGCCAGCCCACAGTGAACCAAGTTCTGAAGCCAATCCCTCCACCGACAATGGACCGGCTCCCGTCCCAGCTGAGGTGCGCTCGCACGACGTCCACCATGAGCAAGTCCAGCATCACGAGAAAAAGGACCAGGGCTCCTCAATTGGCCGGCTGACACCGCGACCGACCTACATGGAGCATCTAGCCAATTCGCGGGACTCGCAGTTCCATCTCGATCGTCGGAATACCAGCGAGCTGGAGCACTACTTTGTATGCCATCATATCTGGAGCAGATGAACGCGATTCAGCGCTGACGATTTCGGATTTCTACACACAGCATGGACCGCGAAATATGGACAAGCATTCCAAATGGCCCGTCTTCATGCGGATGCATGGCAGTATCATGCCGAAGATGATCCTGCCTATTCTCTTCGTGGGGGCTTGGTCGACGTTCATTACCTGCTTCTGCAAATACGTTCATAACAGTAAGTTTACCAGAATACCTTGGGTCTATGCCTCGTTTATTGATGCAATTGCTATATAGTTGGAGTCAATGACATCCTCCTCACCGTGCTGGGTTTCGTGGTGGGATTGGCGCTCTCCTTTCGCAGCTCCACAGCTTACGAGAGGTATTGTTCTCCGTCTACTTAGGACGACATTGGCTGACCTCGATGCTATCAAGATGGGCAGACGGTCGAAAGTACTGGTCCCTTCTGATCCAGACCTCTCGCAACATTGCCCGTACGATCTGGGTCAATACATCCGAACGAGAAGGAGAACAGGGCAAAGAAGATCTTCTGAAAAAGCTGTATGTGACCCTCCAAGCAAATCATGGACAAGTAACCAACCCGAATTGTCAAAAGTACGGCGATGAATCTTATCCTGGCTTTTGCCGTTGCTCTCAAACACAAGCTCCGATTTGAGCCAGATATCGCATATGACGATATCGCCGGCCTCGTTGGACACTTGAATACTTTCGCCCGCGATGCTCATGACAGTCGCGTTGTCAACCCACCACGGAAGACACTGTGGAAGTCCACTGGAGAATACCTGGGGGTCTCGTTTGCGGAGTCCAATCCGCGCAAATTGATCAAGCGGTCTAAGAAGCCGTTGGGTCATTTGCCTCTGGAAATCCTCAACCATCTCTCTGCTTATATTGACTCGTGCGTGGCGAATGGTACACTTTCTTCCAGCCTGCACCAGGGGCAAGTCAGTATGTTGAAGCTAAATTTGTCTTTTTTTTTGTCTGAAAGTCTAACTAAATATCAGTTACCGGGATGTCCTCACTGAATGAAGTCCTGACGGGTACCGAGCGCGTCCTCGATACCCCTCTACCAATGGCGTACAGCATTGCCATATCCCAAATATCATGGATCTATGTCTTAGTTCTTCCCTTCCAGCTATACCAGTCGCTCAACTGGGTCACCATCCCAGCCTCAATTGGTACGTGCCATTACTCCCTCAACATACCATTTATTTAATCACTTATTAACGATGTCCCTCAAAAGTGGCGGCATACATTATCCTCGGCCTTGCCACCATCGGCAGCGAAATCGAAAACCCTTTCGGCGAGGACGTGAATGATCTACCCATGGACACATACTGTCGGCAAATTGCCGTGGAGCTAGACGTTATCACAGCCACCCCGCCGCCAGATGTGAACGAGTTCATAAATAGCGAGGACAATCTGGTATTATTCCCGCTTAGCCAGTCCGGTTTCCCGGCTTGGAAGGAGCGCAGCGTGGCGGATATCCGTGGCGCGCTTCGGACGAAGGTGGTGGCGAGCCCAGTATCTGCTGCGTCGGATGCTTCGACTGTTGTTGTGGATGTTCCTACCAAATCTGAGCAGTCTGTTTGAATTTCGATGCAAAAGGAGTGTCAATTGCGGACTAGAGAAGGGACATGGGAAGGGGACAGAAGGTTGTGGTGCATTTGATTGAGCGAGTCAAAATTGATATTTCGGGCATACATTCGACAGCGTGTGGGTTCTCGCATTTGTTTGTTTTTATTAGCGACGTTGTTCAAAGACTGTTATAGAGACGACCAAAGATTGTCTCTTTAGAGAACTCTAAATTTGATTTGTTCCCTTTTCCTCTTCTTCGCCTTGAAATTCAAGTCTGTGCAAGACATGCATAACAATGGCTGTGTAAGTCTGATGAGACCATTACAACTCTATCTCAAACGTGAATCATACACCCCGGGTTTCAAGTAGCGACTGGGATCGGCATTTGCTATTTGCTCAAATGATCTACGCTGCAAATCATCACAATCGACCCACAAGTGTGCTAGTGACTGTGTTATGCTTTCTAAATCCACACTCGAGTCAGATGTCTGGAAACTGAGGTTTCCAGAACTCGGTCGATCAACTCGGTGGACTGAAAAATACTCCCTAGTGTGTAGATCAATCGATTGTCTTTCACTTTGTTCTGGAGTCTCATCGTGTCTGGATCTGCTCGGCAAGACTTGGCCGGACTCCGCTCTGATCCGGATCAGCCAATGCGGAGTGGACCGACACGACGATCGGTCCCCCCCGATACGAACCGCAGGACTTCGCTCTGGCCTGGTTCGGCTCGAGGGCAGGGGAGGGGTAGAATAATGTTTTACCGTGGTTGTAGTTGTCGAATTTCCGGTCTGATGGTCTGACAATGACAAGCAAATGGGGGCCATCTCTATTGTTCCTTCATCCTCGGGTGGCAATTGACAATCCCGCTAGCGCCTTTACGCGAATGCAACTGAAACCTGCGGACGGGCCACTTCAGCCGGCATCTCCGTGCGCACGCTCTGGCTGGTCTTTCAGGGCACCGCTAGTGGCGAAAGTGCAGTCGGACACGCGAGGGCCTAACGATGGCCGTTCGCTCGGTCTGTTCCTGAAGGACAGCCAAGGGTCGAGTGCCGCCCACCCTCGCTTTCACAGGCCTCTTTGTATTGGATGGTGGAGCCAGCCGAACGATGGGGCTCTGGATCTGCCTATCGTCGCCCGCCCTCACCTTTCAACTCTGGTCGGCCTCGGGCGTGCTACTGCTTTCGCACTCGCGTCGGTCGCTGGTGGACTTTTATTGAAAGTTTTGGCCAGGGCTCATCGACAGGCGAATTATGGAGATGACCGATTCCGTGCGCTGAGTCGCTCCTGGCAAAGTTAAACGCGGACAGGGATCGGCCATTCGCCCAACGACCCTTTGCCTAGCCTTGACTACTGTGGAGTAGTATAGATCCGGACCTCTCTGCGATCGAACCACCCACAACTAGGAATTCATATAATCTGCATGGGTCCCGGGGTGGAGAGGGTGATATTTCCGCTCTCTTTCTTTCCGTCTCTCTCTCTCTCTCGTTCTTTTTGAATGTGAGCACGTAAATACATTGCGGCTCATTATTATCCTCACTCTTTATTATTTCCAACTCAGCATTTGATCGGGCCATGGACGTGGTCGCTGCTCGCCGGCGATAGTACACAGAGACCAATTTTATTCCCTCTATAACGACTGCTGATACCCGAGTCTCCCGCCATGAAGTCCCCTCCGATGTCAGTCCTGGAAACATGGCCGACACCCAACTACATTGACCCTCCTACCCGCGGCCACGGCGTTCTAGTTGTGAACGTCGTCTGTATATCGTTAGCATTCCTGGTGGTTCTGCTCCGGATCTTTACCCGCCTACGCATCACATGCAGTGCCGGCGTTGATGACGTCCTGGTTGTCATTGGCCTGGCTTTCTCCGTCGGGATGGCAGTGGTGACCTCGATTGCGACGGAGGAATGGGGCTGGAATAGACACATCTGGGACATTCCCCCCGCATGGCTCTCGACCGTACAGAAGCTGAATCTCTGCTTCCAAATCATGTTCTCGATGGCGTCGGGCTTTACCAAGATCTCGCTTCTATGGTTCTGTCGGCGTCTGCTGGGGGCGAGCAAGGGCAACTTTATGCTGTTCAACTGGGCGTTTATCGGGGCGATGGTCTTCGTCGGCCTTTCTTGCGCGACATTCACTTTGATCAGCATCTTCCAATGCAATCCTATCAAGGCATATTGGCAGGTTAGCCCCCAGGAGCCATATACCTGCATGAACGACGGGGCTATCGTCTTCTCGGCGAGTGTCATAAATATCTTCACCGACTTCCTCGTCACGGCGCTACCCATGCCGCTGATCTGGAGCCTGAAACTGCCCGCTCGTCAGCGACTTGCAGTCATCTCCATCTTTGGACTAGGAGTCGTGGTTAATGTTGCCGGATCCGTCCGAACAGTATATGTGTGGAAGAGCATGGTAGTCGGATACGACTCGACCTGGCTGGGATGGCCAGTGTTGGTTGCAGCGGCTGTTGAAATCAACCTGGGCTTGGTATGCTTCCCACTTACTGTTCCCTTTGGTCAGTGGCATACATACTAACATAATTTAGATATGCTGCTCTGCACCCGCTCTCCGTCCCCTCATCGCAGCCTTCCTCCCCCATCTTCTCCAATCGACTCGCAACATCAGCTACAATTATGGTCCACGATCCCGCTCCAAGAACAACCTATTCTCCAGCACTGGCCGCTCCCGCAACTCGCGCCTGATCAACGACGACTCTCGCCAGCCCGGCTACGATGACCGCTTCGCAATCATGCGCACTGTGGAAATGGAGCACTACGTGGAGACCTGCACTCCTGGCAAGGGCGCTTCGGGTCATGCCTACAATATCACTTCGGAGACGACCCGTGCCATCACGCCGGCGGATAGCTTTGAGCGGAAGAACAGTGGCACCATGTATACATCCGCGACTAGTGATGCCTCTTCTTCAACGCTGCCGCGAGATGGCGTCGGGTTCGCCGTTTGATGATCGGCGCGGTTCTTAATTGATTTATATCTATTTGTACGACCACTCGGCTATTATTCATCTTTCCTTGTGGCTTTCTGGCTTTGGTTTTGGATATCCATATAAAAGCTCTTTCAAGTGTATATTGCGATACGACAGCTGGGCGTACAGTTGGCATGCTATTGGATGACATTATGCTAAATTAATGACACGAATTTGTTCCTTAAGGTATTAGCAGAAAACAATCAGATCCTTCAAGGATTTTGACGTAACTACCACCTTCTCTGATGAGATCCCATGCGGATCCTTCAGGATCAACAGATGGGCACAGGGCGATCTACAACTGCCGCCCCAGGGGTCTTATCTCTTTCAGTCTAACTATGTCTTGGCGAATCCTTCTTCAGCTGAAGGACGCGGGGCATGTCACCAGCGGCGGAGCCGACCTACTAGTTATTCCTACAGTGCTATTCTCTATCAATAATATTCTCGGCTTTGGCCGGCGTAATAGCAGATCTAGATTGTCGATCAAGCACTAATGGGCCAATCAGTGTTCAAACCATCGAAACGAGGGTATAGTCGACATTGACCATGCCAGACATAATAATATCCTGGATGGCAGTTTGCACGTCCACTGCTGGATCAACGTGCGATAGTCAGCATTGTTTGATGATTGCCCACGGAATATGCCAGATATATCAGAGCATATTTTCTGAGTGGAAAATCTTTCAGCTTCATCACTAGGGATGTGCCCATATGAACTAGTACTTTGAAAAATCTCGTAAAGAGTCAATCCTGGTGCAATGGCCACGGCCGGCTGGTCTCCAATGCCGGAGATCATAGTTGCAACCAAGGGAGCAGCTGGGCAATAAAACCAATGACACCATGTAATAGTCGACTTGGATATATATATATCTCTCTCAGCGCTGCATTGTATCCTAGCTAGGCCTTAGCGATTCTTTCTTCAGCCCAATCGCTCGTAAGAATTCTGCTGCGAACAGGGGAAAACAAGAATCAACTCAATTCATCGCCAAATGCCACCACCAAATGTCATCCAAAAAAAGAAACGTACCCTGATTTTGGCGTTATTAGCACCACGCTCTAACCAACTGAGTCATGGAACCAGCAGCTATGATGGTCCCCCTACTCTCGAGATTGATCAGGACACCGAGCAAATAAATTACAGAATATGGGTTGCTATCCAACTGTGGTGGACATGATCATTGAAATATCCCAGAATCAATTGATTTGACTAGAGTCGAAAAAAATCACCTGATCCACCGTACCCTGTTCTTATACACACACGCCGTTTCATGACATGATAGCCTCAACCACAGCAGAAACCTAACAACCCCCGGATTCACCTCGGCCTTTTCGGGTTGGAATGTCCACCCTGTTCGGCACTTTGCGTCGCAGCCATTGAGTCCGTCTCCGAATTACCTCATCACCGCCGGCTGCCACAGCGTAGACTTACCCAAAGCAGACAAACCCCACATCTTCGCACTCGGCGGGTTGCCGGTATCCGGGGCTTCTGATTCGCCTACACCGCCGAAGCAGGTCCAAGCTCCCTTGATCTGATGGCTGATAACCGTGTGGGGTGCGCCTGGATATAAACCTGTCCCCCTCGTCTTCCACTTTTTTTCCCCTCTCCCCTTCAGCAACACCAGAAGAGAAGAAGAATTCACCATGTCTTCCGTCCTCCGCTGCAGCACCAAGCTGCGTGCCGCCCGACTTCCCGCCGCTCGGGCTCTGTCGACTACCGCCCGCCTGCGTGCGGAGCAGCCCTTCTTCCCCAATGAGCCCTCCGCTCCCTCCGTCAACACGGCCATTCCCGGCCCCAAGAACAAGGCCGCTGCCGCCGAGCTGGATGAGGTCTTTGACGTGCGCAGCTTGAACATGCTGACTGACTACACTCAATCCGTTGGCAACTAGTATGCTTGTCCCTCCCTTCCGCCCAGTGCGGAAGCTGACTCGTTTCTTCTCTCCTTTCTAGCATCTCGGATCTGGACGGCAACAAGCTGCTCGATGTGTAAGTTTTCGATTTTGTTTCCTTCCAATTGATCCCCGCTAATTGCATGCAGCTACGCTCAGATCGCCTCTATCCCGGTCGGGTACAACAACCCGCACCTCCAGAAGGTCGCGCAGTCGCCGGAGATGATCACTTCGCTGATCAACCGCCCGGCACTGGGTAACTTCCCCTCCGCGGATTGGTCGCACATCCTGAAGACCGGTATCCTCAGGGCCGCTCCCAAGGGTCTGAACCAGGTGTTCACCGCCATGGCCGGCTCTGATGCCAACGAGACCGCGTACAAGGCGGCCTTCATGTACTACCGCCAGCTGCAGCGCGGTGGCCCGGAGGTCGAGTTCACCGAAGAGGAGCTGAAATCGACCATGGTGAACCAGGGCCCTGGCTCCCCCCAACTGTCCATTCTCTCCTTCAAGTCGGCCTTCCACGGCCGTCTCTTCGGCTCCCTGTCCACCACCCGCAGCAAGCCCATCCACAAGCTTGATATCCCGGCCTTCGACTGGCCCCAGGCCACCTTCCCCACCCTGAAGTACCCTCTAGAGGAGCACGCCCAGGAGAACGCGGCCGAGGAGCAGCGCTGCCTACAGGAGGTGGAACAGCTGATCAAGACCTTCCACAACCCCGTCGCGGCGGTGATGGTCGAGCCCATCCAGTCCGAGGGTGGCGACAACCACGCCTCTCCCGCTTTCTTCCGCGGCCTGCGCGAGATCACCAAGCGCAACAACGTGCTGTTCATCGTCGACGAGGTGCAGACCGGTGTCGGCGCCACGGGCAAGTTCTGGGCCCACGACCACTGGAACCTCGAGACCCCTCCCGACATGGTGACCTTCTCCAAGAAGGCCCAGACCGCCGGTTACTACTATGGCAACCCGGCCCTGCGGCCCAACAAGCCTTACCGCCAGTTCAACACCTGGATGGGTGACCCCTCGCGCGCCCTGATCTTCCGCGGCATCATCGAGGAGGTCGAGCGCCTGGGTCTGGTCGAGAACACCCGAATCACCGGTGACTACCTGTATGCTGGTCTCCAGGGTCTCGCCCAGAAGTACCCCGAGCACTTCCAGAACCTGCGCGGTAAGGGCCAGGGTACCTTCATTGCCTGGGACACTCCCCACCGGGACACGTTCCTGGCCAAGGCCAAGCAGGTCGGTGTCAACATTGGTGGCAGCGGCCAGAGCGCTGTCCGTCTGCGCCCCATGCTGGTCTTCCAGAAGCATCACGGTATGTTTTCTTTTCCTCCTGTTCGTCATGAATCCCTTCGCTGACCTACTTTCTTTTACAGCCGATATCCTCCTGGAGAGCATCGAGAAGATCATCAAGCTCCTGTAGACTGGTTGAGGACTCTTCTTCTTTCCTTTGTTATTGAAAACTAATGAGCGCATTTGGTTGTTTTATTTTACTATCTTTTTGACACGAGTTCATGCCAATTCAAAAAGGATCTGTACATTTCATAGACAAGACATGCTCCTGATCGCCTTCGTTTAGTCTATTGCCAGAGCCCGCGGTTGTATAATATGGGACACCTAGACCGATAATTGTAGAGACGCTCACTAAGAAAAGCAGCCATGGGGCCGAGTAGCCGATTCCCTAGAACATTGAAGACAAAAATATGTGAAGCCAATCCCGATGCTTGCGACCATTAACTCCTGAACGGCCCGAAAATATTGCAAAAAGTGTGCGAACCCCAAGAGGATGGCTGGGTAGTAGAAAAAAGGTATCCACGACAAATAATTCATGACTCTTCCTCACCGGTGCTTCCGTCGCGGGGAACGTATTTGACACCGGAATCCTCGAGGCTGTTGATAATATATTCCGGGAGCTACAATCCACGCAAATAGCAACTGTTAGCCCATATTTCGTCTCAATAACCCAGCGAGAAATCACCCACCGTCCCCGTCACTTTGGTCGCATATGTCCCCGGGACATAGTTATTCAACCGTTGCCAGCGCGCCACCCAGCTGGCGTTCGGGTCGCGTACGGCAATCAACCCCTCGAAGACCTGCGACGTGCATTCTTGGATGGCGTCGGTGTTTCCGCTGAGTTGAAGGACGTTCTCGCAGTTTGGACAGCCGTCGCGCATGAATTTCTACTCGGGGCGTGTGGTCAGCGTCCGTGCTGGACTGGAGGTGGGGAATGGACAAAGTCTTACCGTGTGTGTTTGGACGACGGAGCAGACCATGCAGGCGCGCAGACTCCGCTGGTGGTTTGGTGCTGCGTAGAAGGACATGGTGGGAGGGAATGAGGTGAGGTGAGGGAAGGGAGAAGAGAGAGAGAGACAGAGAGGCTTCCAGAAGGACGCTGGATGCCAAGCCCGGAGGAAATCGCCCTACAACTTTTTGGAAGCAACACTTTCTTTCTTTCTCCACCTTTCTCTCTCACTCTCAAGCCCTACGACTGCGAACACGGGACTGGACTCGTTCTCGTTCTCTTTCTCTCCTTCCACGCCGCACTCACATCCCCTCTTTCCTCCCCCGGCATCTCCCCGATCCAGTCTCGTGCCCCTCCCAATGGCTTCAGACCAAGAAGCCGCCACCGCGCTCAAGGTGCAAGGCAACAAGGCCTTTGCCCAGCATGACTGGCCCACGGCTGTCGAGTTTTATGACCAGGCCATCGCCAAGTATGACAAAGAGCCTTCGTTCTTTTGCAACCGGGCCCAGGTGCGTGCGACGATCTGCCGGTGGCCACGATCACCCTCGGACGGCATTTGCTGACTCTGACTCTAATTAGGCCCAAATCAAACTCGAGGCTTTTGGTTACGCCCTTGCGGATGCGACTAAGGCGTTGGAATTGGACCCCAACTATGTCAAGGTTGGTCCCCTGTCTGTACCTGCGGATTGACCGAGTCACGCGGAACTAAAATTGGCTTTGTTTGTCTAGGCCTACTGGCGTCGTGCCCTGGCCAACACGGCCATCCTCGATTACAAGGCGGCCCTCAAGGATTTCAAGGCGGTGGTGAAGCGCGAGCCCGGCAACCGCGATGCGAAGCTTAAGCTGGCAGACTGCGAGAAATTGGTGCGCCGGCTAGAATTTGAGAAGGCCATTGAGGTTTCCGATCCGCCATCTGCGTTCGAGGATTTGGATATCAATGCGATCCAGGTCGAGGATGGCTACGACGGCGTGCGCCTCGGGGACGAAATGACACAGGAGTTTATCGACGACATGGTCCAGCGGTTCAAGGATGGCAAGAAGATCCACCGCAAGTATGTCTTCCAGATCATCAAGGCTGTGAAGGATCTCGTGTATGCCGAGCCGACGATGGTGGAAATTGGAGTGGATGCGGGCAAGAAGCTGACGGTTTGCGGTGACACACACGGTATGCTTGGACAGATGTTGAAGATGAGGACGAGCGCTTACTGGATTATAGGTCAATTCTTCGATCTGCTAGAGATCTTCCGCCGGAATGGGTACCCCTCCGATACCCATGCCTATCTCTTCAATGGTGACTTTGTTGACCGTGGCTCGTGGTCCACTGAGATTGCCCTGCTCCTCTACGCATATAAATGGCTGCGGCCGAACGGTCTTTTCCTCAACCGCGGCAACCACGAGACAGATGACATGAACAAGGTATACGGGTTTGAAGGCGAGTGTCGCGCCAAGTACAATGAGCGGGTATTCAAGGTGTTCTCCGAGTCCTTCTCGGCCTTGCCATTAGCCACCTTGATTGGCGAAAAGTACCTCGTGCTGCACGGCGGTCTCTTCTCTGACGACAAGACAACGCTGGAGGATATCCGGAAACTCAACCGCCACAACCAACGCCAGCCGGGTCAGTCAGGCCTGATGATGGAGATGCTCTGGACAGACCCGCAGACCGAACCCGGGCGCGGTCCCAGCAAGCGCGGTGTCGGCCTTCAATTTGGTCCGGACGTGACCAAGCGCTTCTGCGAGAACAACGGCCTTGAGGCCGTCATTCGATCGCACGAAGTCCGCATGAATGGATATGAAGTCGAGCACGATGGCCGGTGTATCACGGTCTTCTCAGCTCCCAAGTACTGCGACTCGACGGAGAACAAGGGTGCCTATATCAATGTCGGGCCCGAGCTCAAGCTGGAGTACCAGGTATTCGACGCGGTGCCGCACCCGGACATTAAGCCCATGGTAAGTACAGACCGTCCTCTCAATTGGACCGAGTGATAGCTGACTTCGGTTTCAGGCATATGCGCAAAACTCGATTATGTCGTCGATGATGTGATGCGACCAGACCAGATGAAATGATATATCAGGAATTTTTGGCGTTGGATCAGACCCTAGAATTGCTTCTTTGTATGTATGAGGAGGATACCACCTTGGCTGGCTATTGTTTGTACTACTTTGCGTAGATCATCATATCATCCACGGGGGCGGTGTGCTGCCCCTCCATTCTGCCCCTCCATGTTTCTGTTTTTCTTCCTCTCCCCCTCTCCCGAATTAGACTCACCACCATAATTATGGAATTCGATCCGAAGACCCGTGAGTCTGTCGCCTCGGCCTATACTCCGCCGCCCAGCTGACTCCGCCAGCCCAATATCTCACCTCCGACAAGTCGAGCTTCGCCTCAGTCTCCGCCCATGAGCGATGGCCCGTCATCATCGTAAGCTTGCCGCTTCAGATCCAAGTTCCGGCGCTGATTGGATGTAACGAATATAGACCGGTGCTATCGATGATCTGCACCGCACAGTCGGCGATGTCAATGACGAGGAGAAGCGCCAGGAGGGCAAGAACATCATTGAGAAATTAGCCACGCTGAAGTACGAGCTGCAGCATGACCGGCAGCTGACGTGAGTGATTTTCTTCGGGTTTGATGCCAAAATTGACATGAACTGTTTTACTAGACCCCTTACCGATGATGGCCATGCCGATATTGCCCAGTATAACCAGGAGCTGCAGCAGCGCGGAAACCCTACTTGGCACAATGTGCCCTGGCTCTACTCGGAGTGCTACCTCTGTATGATGCGAGCTTTTCTTTTCGGAAACAGACAGTTCTGACAATGAATAGACCGACGCATTGAGACCTTTTTTTCATTGTCGCAACATTGGAAGGGATATGACGTGTTTGCGCGCCAGAAGATGTCTACCTTCAAGTCCTCCCGCCCTGCCGTGCTCGAACTGGCCTCACGATACCGCGAGCTGGCGCACGAAGCTGAGACCGGTAAAGGCCAGGACGGCAGGTCGCCTGCAGAAGTCGAGCAGGCCGAGAAGCTGTTGTTCTCGGAGATGTGTGAGATCTGTCTGTGGGGCAATGCGACAGACCTGTCGCTCCTGACCTCTCTCACCTACGAGGATATCCAGAAGCTGCAGGGCTCGCAGGCTCGCCAGGCATCGCAGAAGAACATCCTCGTTAACGATCTCGACGCTGCCTTCGCGGCGCTACAGAAGGCACGCAACGAGAAGAAAGACGCTGAACGCCGCGTCGACATTGTCCTCGACAATTCCGGCTTTGAGCTGTTCGTCGACCTGATCCTGGCCGGGTACTTGCTGTCCGCCGGACTGGCTACAACCATCGTGCTACACCCCAAGCGCCTTCCGTGGTTTGTGTCCGATGTGACACCCAAGGACTTTTCAGACCTGCTTAACACCCTCGTCGATCCGCAGACCTTTTACACTGCTCCCGACGACACGGGCAAGACCTACCCGGCGCTGTCAGACAAGGAGGTCTCCGACGTGCAATTTCTCTTCCAACAATGGAGCCAGTTCCACCAAGACGGCCAGCTGATCGTCCGCCCGCACCAGTTCTGGACTACCCCGGGCGGCTACTGGCGCATGCCTCACCTTGCGCCGGAGCTGTTCGATGATCTAAAGGAAAGCGAGCTGGTGTTGTTCAAGGGTGACCTCAACTACCGCAAGTTGACCAACGATGCAGCCTGGGACCCTACCACCCCCTTCACAACTGCTATCGGCCCCATGGGCCCGAAGTCGGGGATTCGTGTCATGGCTTTCAGGACGTGCAAGGCTGACACCGTCGTCGGTCTTCCGGCGGGTGAGGATGAGAAGCTGCGCCAGATGCCGGGTGGTGGTGGTTCGGAGGGCCGCAAATGGGCCTGGAGTGGCAAGTGGGCTGTTGTTTCGTTCTCGGATGGCCAGGCTTGAGTTAAACTGAAGGTGGGATGTCCTGGATAGACAAGCTTGTTTGATACACGGTTTTTCGCGGTTTATATGCATGGACATAGGAGGATAGAGATGACTTCAGTTCAGTGTTGTTTCGACTCGATAGAAATACATCGTCGTGTTAATATACCTACCAATCCCCAAAATTTGAGAGCTGGCTTCGTTAGCCGACCGAGTGAGTACGTCGAGTGGGAGCAACGAGCCGATAAATGGTGAGAGAATCTTGCCCTAACATGTCTACAGATGAAAAAAGACAGACCGAGCACAACCATGCCTTCGACCAGTAAAAATAAGAAAATGGGGATCTGAGAAAAGATACAGCCCAAGAAACGCACGCCAAATACAGCACCAAAAGACCTCTGCTCCGTCTCTCCTTGAAACAGCCCTAATGCATAATCCATAATAATCAACCAGCCCCAGCACCCGACGAAACAGCCGCCCTCACATTCTCCTTGCCCAACGCCCTGCTCTTGCGACTATCGTGTTTCTGTCTGAGCCGTGACCTGGCAGCCGCAACACGCTCGGGTGACAGATACTCGCTCTGCATATCGCTGAGCCCATACCGCTTGCCAACCCGCTCGCCACCTGAAATTGTCGATCCGGCATAGCCGCCTGTGCGGGACGCGGGGGGTCCGGATATTGAATCCAGAGTTGACTTTATGGGTGATCTCTGGCGGTGGTGGGTGTATGTCTGGCCCTGTCCCGGCTCATCTGTCTCGGTCAAGTAGCGAGACCGGTACGTGCGCTGACCATCTTCTCCTGCATGCAGGTACTTCGCGCGGCCCTGGGCATGAGAATGGGATTTCAGCGCCGCGGCATCGGGCGGTGATGATGGGGGCATTGCGGCGAGCTCGGCGTGGTGGGATGTGCGTGTCTGGTGAGATTTGGGAAGGATTTCGTTGAGGTAGTGCGTGACCTCGTCGTCTTCGGCGGCGATCTCCCGCGCAGCGCGCCGGAGGTCGAAGGCTCCGATCGTTGAGTGACCGGTGAAACGACCTTTGGAGCGCGGGCTTGGGCTGGGCGGTGCGTCGAGGTCTTCGGTTGCGTCTTCTGCGGTCTCCAGCATCGCATTGTGGCCGCGGAAATCTTGGACGTGGACACCTGTATAATTCTTTCGCGGGCTGAGGGAGTGCAGTCCCTCGGGTCGGAAAGAGTATTGCTCCGTCGCGGCAACCCTCAGCTTCAGCAGATCGATCTGGTCTTGCATGCGCCGGTGTTCTTTTTCGAATGTGCTTCTCAGCGCCTCTTCGGACTTGCGGTGCTCTTGTGTGGACGTCCTGAGTCGGTCCCGGTATTCCTGGATCCGTGCTTCCAGCTTCGCTTCTCGGGATTTGAATTTGGATTCCTTGTCCTTGCGTCGGCCCTCGTAGCGCGACATCTCCTGCTTGACGCGCGCCAGAGTCTGTTTGAGCTGGGTGTTCTCCTTCTCCAATTCCTGGGCTTTCTGCTCCGAACTTCGGGCCAGTTCTTGGAGCGTGGTTAGGTCGGTTGGCTGGCGTTTGATTTCCTCGAGCTTGGCGCTTGATTGGTTCAACGCAAACTGGGTTTGACGCGATTCATCTGTTGAATTCCGCGTAGCCGGTTCTTCAGGCCCATCGACAATATCACCGCTGACCACGTTGTGCTGTTCAAGAAGTTTGCGGAGACCGAAGACTTGTTGTTTGTATTGCAATGCAAGAGCCGTCTGTTTGGTCAGGTCTTGAATCAAATGCTCCTTATCTGCCGGCGGGCCACCTTCCACCATGGTGGACGCTAGCTGTGATACCTGGCGTTCCATTTCATTGACTTTGTCCTCTTCTTCCCGAAGTTTGTCGGCCAACCGCAGGGCTTCGGAGTCCTTCTTGCGCGCATAGGACTTGGCGATCGACCGGTAGTGGATCAGTTTCTTGATTTCGCGATTGGTTCGGATGCGGTAGTTGTCGAATTCCGTCTTCCAGTACTTGCCCGACTCTGAGCGCGGGTCTTCCAGGTTGATGGTGATATCCTCATTGCTCGTGTCTTCTTTCGTTCGGGAACGCGTAGGGGATTTCGCGGGCGATGATTGTGGCGACTTGCCATTTTTGGACGCGTTGTCGCGCGCATTGAGTAGTGTCTGGGTCAGTTTGCTTCGCGGTTTTGAGCTCCCGTCCGATGAGCCTGACATCCACTGGACGCTAAGGTTGCCCGAGGGGTTGGGAGGCGTCTTGATCAGTTTGTTCGAGCTACCAGTCCGTTTGCCCTCGTTGTCGACAACACTTTCACCGAAAGAAACAGTCTTGCGCCGATTGGATATCGTGCCAGGTGTAACGAGGATGCTTTTCGTGGGAGAACCCTGGTTAATCGCGTCGCCGGTCAGTGCTTTGGAGCTTTCGTCTTCGGCCATGTTGCGCGCGGGTGACGGTGCCGAATCACTCTTGCTTCGTTGGTGACCAAGGGCTCTCTTTGGCTGTGACACGTGCTCCTCCTCCTCTGCGGCGGGCGTGCCAAATAAGGCACTCTTGAACGCGCGGATCGCGAATACGGGAGCCGGGGTTTCGGGCGGCTCGAGCATCCTCGAGTTGTCTGTAGATGAGAATCGCGTCAATGAGTCGCGTCGAGGCGAAGTACAGTCTGTAGAACCAACCTGGTTGCTCGGACCCAGTCATCCAGTCGAGCATCTTGGCTAGGTGAGGTGAGGTGAGGTGAGAAGGAAACACAGACCGTTTGTTTTGGGCGGAAAAGCAGAGGCGCCGAGGGCTTATCGATTACGAGTCACGAGTGCAGACGCGAACTATAGCTACCTACCGACACGCTGCCCAACATCTCGCCCATTGTGATTGTATTTCACTAAAGCTCAATGCTCTTCTCACGCCGTGCCTATTATCAATTCATGTCAGCTTCAACCCTGATAGCTAATCATATAGGCTTGGAAGATATAGCTTGTTAGGCGTTCCGGGCATAAACAACCGCACCGCTATTATGACCCGTTTGGGGACTGGCAATAAGTGCACGTGTCATCTACTATGATCTATCTTAATAGATATCTCTGCCGATTTGAAGCACATCCATTGAATGAAAATATAGTTATGTCACGACCTCCAAGCTTCGTCCCCGCGGTTATCGATAAGCCAACTGACCGCCTGTTTGTCCGCAGAAAATCATCCCACGTCTTTCTTGTCACAACACGTCCTGTATCTTCCACAATGCCCTTTATGCCGTGTGTCCAGGGACGTATGTAGCGCCGGCTGCGAAAGCACGCCCTGGATGCCGCCACCATGCCTCCCAAGCACAAGAAGAAGCCCGTCAGCGACAAGCAGGCCTCTGATTCATCGAGCTTGTCTCCCGTGCAGACCACAACCAATTACCGCGAAATCCACCAGAACGAAGTCGAGGCCTTGCAGTCCATATATGGCGACGACTATGAACAGGTTGAGAACCGACGCTCGGCATGGCAGGTAAGGTCCTCATGGCTTGCCGTTGCGGGCACGACTGACGACGACACATTCATAGCAATCCTCTGATGTGACCTTCAAACTCCACCTGCGAGCCTCCTCCAACCCGGATGTCTTCCTTGTCCTGCTGGTTGAGCTGCCCGCCACGTACCCAAAAACAGTCCCCAATCTCTCGTTGAGCAATCTGAACGATCTACGCGATGGAGCCCGTTCGAGAGTGCAAGAGATCATTCGGAACAAACCGAAGACACTTCTGGGAAGTGAAATGATCTATGAGCTGGCAGTATCAATCCAAGATGTTTTGGAGGACGTCGCCCAGGCTCGGGAGCAGGACAAGGACCTGCCAAGCCTCGAGGAAGAGCGAATGGAGCAGGAAGCTGCAGCCATGCAACAAGCCGAGCGGGAGAAGCAAGAGGAGCTCCGGAAGCAGGAAGCCGCAAATGCAGAAGAAGATCGCGCACTGCAGGAAATGATCCAGGATACGATTCGACAGCGGACCAAAGCGCGCACTATGAGGCGCAAGAGTCGAATTGGCGGGGTTGAATCGAACGAGGTCGGCGACCTTACAGAAAGTACCCCTGGTGCCATCGCCTTTGACCCCCCATTAGAGGTGAATGACACCGACGAACAGCCCCTGGCCTTCCGTGCCGTTCATGGAAAGTCCCTGCTGCAAAGCAGGCAATTCAAGAAGACGTTTATTGTGCGACCCGTCGTTTCCGAAAGCTGTTCATCTGTTCCTCAACTCGTTCTCAAGGAGATTATCTTGCACGAGAAGGGGTCAGATGCCTTGACATTCCGAGAGCAAATGCGGAGCAGCGAGGATAAGCTAGAGGGGCTGAAACGACTACGGCATCAGAACTTGATTGATTTTGTGGGATTCAAGATTGACCGCCCGCCGACACCATACGATTCACCTGATAACTCCTGGACCGTGTTTCTTCTTCTAGAATTTGCAAACAAAGGATCACTTTCGGAGCTCCTTGATATTGTCGGCACTGTTGCTGTTGAGATGCTCCGTGGCTGGATGATTCAACTTCTCGAGGCCCTGGAATTTTACCACCGCAGTGGCTTCGTCCATGGCAACATTCACTGTGGCTGCGTGATGCTCTTCAGAAATCCTTCCGGTGGGACCATCGTGAAGTTGCGATCCAGTATCGAAGAGGCTTTGCCAGAAAGCCCTGGAGCGAAGCGTTCGTTAACAACGTCCAAGTCGCCACTCTGGCTGCCTCCGGAGCTGACACAGGATGGTGCGTCGCCTACCATGAAGACGGACGTCTGGGATTTGGGTATTGTCCTGCTTCAAATGGGCTTTGGGAAGGATGTTCTCCAGCGGTATACCTCAGCCAATCAACTGATGGTGTCAATGGGACTCTCGCCGCCGCTGCAAGACTTGCTTCGTGAATTCTTCCGTCCAGACCCGCGCAAGCGCCCGACTGCATTCCAGTTGCTGCCTTCTGAATTTTTCCGTGTGGATGCTCCTTTGGCCATGCGGGATAGAGCTTCGAACTCAGTTTCACTACAGAGGCGGCCAGGGATGGACTCTCTCGGGGTTATGCCAAACCTTTCGCGATATCATCAAGATTTTGATGAAGCAGGGCAGCTGGGTCGTGGTGGCTTTGGACAAGTGGTGAAAGCGAGAAATAAGCTCGATGGCCGCTTTTATGCTGTCAAAAAGATCTCGCAAACCTCAGCTGCGGCACTGAAAGACACGCTGTCAGAAATCATGCTTCTATCCCGACTGAATCACCCCTACGTTGTCCGGTACTACACCGCATGGTTGGAAGAAGACTTTAACCAGATTGAAGAGGAGGCTATTTCCTCCACAGAAGGCGATCCTTTCGCTAGCCAGGGCGGGCACGATTTCAGCACAGGCGGTCTTGACTTCATCAGTTCCAGTGGCTATCCCAAAATCGAATTCGCCGCTTCAGATAGTGAAGAAGAAGATGAAGGCACAGTTTCTGAGCAAGGCACCGGAGAGACATTTGGAATTTCTGCAGCTGGCACTGGACAAGGCGCCGAACTCGCCCGTGTGAGATCTGGCTCTTATGCACGGCCCGTGCTAACGACACTCTACATCCAAATGGAATACTGCGAGAGACATGTGGGGGTTTTTTTTCTTCGGTATTTGTGAACCTAAAGGCTAATCTTTCCCCAGACCCTGCGCGACTTGATCAAGAATGGATTGTATGACGATATTGATCGCTCTTGGCGCCTGTTTCGACAAATTCTTGATGGCTTGAGCCATATCCACAGCCATGGCATAATCCACCGCGATCTCAAACCAGACAATATTTTCATTGATGTAGCCAATAATCCTCGGATCGGGGATTTTGGTCTTGCTACTAGTGGTCAGTTCACAACCGCCGTTCGCTCATCTGCAGCGGCAGACTTTGAAGGCAACTTCACTCGCAGCCTTGGGACGACGTACTATGTTGCACCGGAGATGAAGTCTGGATTCTCCGGACACTACAACGAGAAAGTTGATGTAAGTGCTTTTCTCCCCCGTTTGTTCCGGTCTATGCTCATTCACTTTAGATGTTCTCGCTCGGTGTCATTTTCTTCGAAATGTGCCAGCCGCTGCCGACGAACATGGAACGAGACAAAACATTGCGCTCAATCAGAGAAAAGAATCATGTCTTACCATCTACATTCCAAGATTCTGAAAAAGCAGTCCAGGGTCAAATCATAGAATCACTCTTGAGCCACAATCCGAACGAGCGTCCCTCGGCATCCGATCTTCTTCGCGAGGGCAAGATCCCTCTCCAGGTAGAAGAAGAAACCTTCCGGAGAGCTATTGTGCATTTGCTGTCAGACCCGAACTCACCAGACTACAAGAAAATTCTCTCGGCCATATTCTCCCAATCTCCAAAGAAATTTGAAGACATTGCCTGGGACATGGATTCCCACCATGCACCAGCAGCCAATGAGTTGCTTGTTCAAGGGCTTGTCAAAAAGAAACTGACTTCGATATTTCGAAGACATGGGGCTGTAGAATCACCTCGTCAAACGCTTTTCCCACGGTCTCAACATTATTCAGGTGGAGCTGTGCGGCTGTTGGATTCAGCTGGCAACCTTCTACAATTACCGTTCGACTTGACAGTGCCGAACGCACGCGCTATTCCGCGACAGGATCCATCATTGGAGAAGACTTTCGCTTTTGGCACAGTCTACAGAGAATCCAGTCATGGCAGTGAGCCCAGGTCTCACCGCGAAGTCGACTTTGACATCGTCTCCTACAACACACTGGATCTAGCACTGAAGGAGGCGGAGGTGATAAAAGTCCTGGATGAGGTCCTTGAGGAATTTCCTCCGCTGCGGTCTGCTCCAATGTGTTTCCTTGTCAACCACTCGGACCTGTTGCAACTGATTATGGAATTCTGTCGCATTACACCCTCTCAGATCCCGTTGGTGAAGGAAGTGATCAGCAAACTGAATGTTGGAAAATATACGATGCAGAAGATCCGAAGTGAACTTCGATCCCCAGCCATTGGCGTTGCTTCAACTTCCTTGGACGATCTTGCTCGATTTGACTTCCGAGGTAAGTAGCCTTCTTAATTACTTCATCTATCACTGCTCACACTACTTCAGATTCGCCGAAGGGAACCCAGCGGAAGCTCCAGACTATCATGGAGGGGACCGAATTCGCGGAGCGGATTGCTCCTATATTCGCGCGACTGAATGTTCTCATGACGTACATCCAGAGCTTTGGCGTGAAGACAAAGGTCTACATCAATCCACTCAGCAGCCTGCACGACAAGTTCTACAGAGGCAGTGTGCTTTTCCAGTTGGTTTTTGACAGCAAGCGGCGAGATGTGTTCGCGGCGGGTGGTCGATATGATGGCCTGATAAAGGAGTTCGCACCCAAGGTCTTGTCCAGTCGCCCGCAAGCGCACGCCGTGGGATTCAACCTTAGCTCTGATCGTCTCGTTTCCTCCATGGTCGACTACATGAAGGTCAAGGCTCCACCAAAAGATTCTGAAGCTGGTGCTGAGCTCTACTGGACAACCCGAAGGGTAAGTAATGCGGTCATATCTCTGCTCATTTACTAAGTAAAAATCAGTGCGATGTACTCGTCGCCAGCTTCGACGCCACCGTCCTTCGCACAACGGGGGTGAAGTTGACCGAAGATCTCTGGACAAACAACATCAGTGCCGAATTGGCAGTAGATGCCTCATCTCTTGAAGAACTTCTGGCCAAATACAAAGACCATAATCACCGATGGATCGTCATCGCGAAACAAGACAGCAAAGAGCGTGGGTTCAAAGTCCGCAACCTGGTTCGCAAGGAGGAATTCGATATCCGCAGCGCAGAACTCGTGCCCTGGCTTCGAGCAGAGGTCCAAGCACGCCACCACCGCGAGGGAACAGCCGACCAGCGCCAGTCTCGTTTGCCGGGCCAGCAAGATACATTGGCATCGAATGAGAAGGCGAACGACGTGCGCATTCTCGTCCCACAGCACCGGAGCAAGAAGACCAACCGGAGGAATATCGTTGAGTCAGGTATGTCTTTTCCTTCCATTTTCGTTTCTCACAAGTCATTCTAACAATCCGCCAGCCCTTTTGAGTTCGCGCGAAGTCGCCGAAAACGCCCGCAACGGTCCCATCGCCGCTATCGACACGCGCGACGACGTCCTCAACTCTATCCGCGACACGCGCCTCGCTGACCCGGACAGCTGGCGCACTGTCATTCAGAATGCGCCGCTGACGGAACGCAAATATCTCAGCCAGGTCTACGAGCTGCTTACGGATCTGGCAGCCGAGAGCCGTGCTGGCGGGGAGAACAAGGAGAGCTATACTAACGCCTTTATCTACAACTACCGCACTGGCTCGTGTGTGTATTATGACCTCGGATACAGTGGATGATTTCTTTTGGTTCGCATGCGTGGGTAGATGGGAGGATTGCATTTGTTACCTAGGTCGTCACCCGTGGTTCATACCTTTTTGTTCATAATATCCCAACCCATTGTTCGAATACAGTACATATGCAAGTATCGGACAGTAGTAATGTTCTTCTTCTTCTTCAAATCTTTTAGAGGTATCGCTAGTATTGTACATGGGAAAAATCACAGGCATCAAAGGTAGTGAGGGGACGCTCAGTCACTCTCATCATCGCTTCCGTAGGCGACTAACGGGCCCCCAGCAGACTTGGGAGCAGCCTGAGTCGTGACCGTCCCACCCGCAAGACCCCGCAACGCAGCAACAGCCGAGCTGGAGAAGATACCATCGCTCTGAGATTCCGGTTCAGGACGCCCAGTTTGTTGGCCCGCATCTTCGATCATAAGCGGCTGCTCCGGTGCTTCCAATTGACCAGCCGCCGCCTTCGCATCCTCCAATTGTCGATTCCGAGCATGCCATACGTCATCCGGAACATCATAGCCCTGCAGGCCGAAACTGCCCTCAATCTTCTTCCTCTTCTTTGCATCCGGATCCCTCCCCTCAATCTCAGCCACGAATGCCTCGGGAAGTGCTCGCCGCACCGCCTCAGCAGCCTGTTCCTCTAGCCTGCGCGCGTCGCGTTTCTGAGCCATCGGGTTCGGGTCGACAGTCGCCCAGCGCACGTTGAGAACCTCCTCGTGATCCAAGCTCTGGTTACTCATTGCCTCCTTAGCAAATTGAGCGTTACTTTCATTTGTGCTGCGAACAAAGCTCATTAGCCTTTTTCCGTTCAAGATCAACGACATCCGACTTACTAGGTTACGAAAGCCACTCCACGGCCCGTCAATACGCGTGTCCTCTCGATTTGTCCCCATGGGCTAAAATGCCTCGACACCACTTCCTCGATATCGTCCTAATAAAAATTGAATTAGCTCTTTGATCTCACAAAACTTGGAGAAGAGACAACATACCGTAACGTGGATACGACCAACGTAGAGCGTGCGATTCTGCCTGTCAAGGAGTTAGCACTTTTACTCTCTATTAAAGGAGTATGAAGCGTAGAAATGTACCGCATAAAAGATCCAACACCACCCATCTAATCAGAACAGTCAGTTATGATCCGCGGCATTTCGCGTAGGGGACTCACATCGTCTCGGTAATCTGAGTGTTTGTCGCGGCCTGCCAAAGAATTAGCCCGTTTCCTTCCTACCAGAATGGGTTTGACGGGGAAAAATCCATACCGAAGCAATCGATATTGGGATTGAAAATGTCCATGACGGTGGGTGCCCTATGAAGATACTGGCACTCCGCGCCGTTCGGGCAAGTCCCCCGGGCAAAGTGCAGACAGAAGAAAGACCCATTCACACGGTCTGCCCGAGTGTAGCCACTGTCTTGCGCTAGGTTGCACCGCCCCGGAGCGGGCGTGTTCGACTGGTTGTTCTCCCCCCGGTTTCCGCCTTCGTACTTCGAGTACCAGATGTTGAACATCGTCCCAGACTCCTGCTGCGGCTGAAGATTCTTAACGAAGGATGGGTCGACCTGCACGCGCGCTGGTCTTTTCTTGCGACGGATGAGTTTGGTCTTCTTGGCTGGCTGGAGCTGTTGCTCCCCTTCTTGCGGCGGCGCGCCCTCCTCCGGAGGAGTGTTGGAGATGGGTGCCGACGATGGCTCGGCGAGTGCGGTATCTGCCATGGTGGGGTGTGTTGTGCGTGGTAGCGAGTGAGGGAGGCAAGAAAGATGTGAGGTTCGTTGGCTGCACCGCGACAAATCCGCGGTGCTTATGTAATGCGCTTGGAACATTTTGTGGATCGACGAATGGACCTCTTCATCGTCGTGGCAATTGCTTTCCGTTGTATTGACTTGCATCCTTGCAGAGACCAACACAGGTAGTCAGGATGGTGAACATTACGGAGAAGATTAAGGAGTAGGTACCCCTCCGAAAGGACTCCTGCAGGATACCTACTAAGACGTTGCTTAACAGGATCGAGGATGAGATGCGGAGGACGCAGAGTACGATGCTCACTGATCCCAACGATCCAGACCCTCTTACTGACCAGTTACTCCGCAGAGAACAAGGCGACAGAATATCATCTTGGTCTATTGAAAGGGTACTTACTCACCCACATTCCGGACTCTCAATCGCAAACACAAGAACGCTAAGCTAACCAACGAATCCAGAAAACTCGCCCGCTTAAGAGCGCAACTCCTCGAACCAGCAGCCGGCGCAGGTGCAGGCGGCGGCACAGGGTTTGACGTGAGCAAAAGCGGCGATGCGCGCGTGGCACTCGTCGGATTCCCATCTGTCGGCAAATCCACGTTCTTGTCCAAGATCACCAAGACCAAGAGTGAGGCTGCGTCGTACTCATTCACCACGCTGACTGCCATCCCCGGTGTGCTTGAGTATGGCGGGGCTGAGATCCAGATTCTGGATCTGCCGGGTATTATTGAAGGTGCCGCCGAGGGGAAGGGTCGTGGGCGGCAGGTTATCTCTGCCGCGAAGGTGATTAATAATATCTTCCAAACAAATCATAAAGGGGTCTGTATGTTCTAACAGTTACTACAGACTAGTGATCTCATCCTGATGATTCTGGATGCTACTAAGCGCGCAGAGCAGCGGGCTCTGCTGGAGGCGGAGTTGGATGCTGTTGGGATTCGACTGAACAAAGAGCCTCCGTACGTTTTATTTCACCCGACTCTTTTTCTGGTATATGCAGAAGCTGACATACTGCGCAGGAACATTTATCTCAAGCAGAAAAAGGCCGGCGGCATGAAAATTACTTTCCAGACCCCGCCCAAAAACCTGGACGAGAAAATGATCTACAATGTTCTCCGCGATTACAAGATGCTCAACTGTGAGGTTCTGGTGCGAGATGAGAACGGTATGTCATTGCCCATCTGGTTACTGTCTCAGACATTAATATTGACCATGTTCCCCGCAGCTACAATTGATGATTTCATCGACGTGATCATGAAGGATCACCGAAAATACATCCGCTGGTAAGTATCCACTCTCTGTTCCTTCTAATGACGAAAGTCTTATATTCCATTCACAGCCTCTACGTCTACAACAAGATCGACAGCGTCAGTCTCGAGTTCCTGGACCAACTAGCCCGCGAGCCGTACACGGCCGTCATGAGCTGTGAGCTCGATCTCGGTGTACAGGAGGTGGTTGAGAGGATCTGGAAGGAGCTGCGTCTGATGCGGCTGTACACGAAGCGGAAAGGAGAAGAGCCTGGCTTCGACGAAGCCCTGATTGTTCGCAGCAACTCCTCAATCGAGGACGTGTGCGATCAGATCCATCGCACGCTGAAGGATACCTTCAAGTATGCGCTTGTGTGGGGGGCGAGTGCGCGACATGTGCCGCAGCGGGTGGGATTGGGCCACATCGTGGCGGATGAGGATGTGGTTTCTATCGTAGCGAAATAGGTTGAACCAACCCGAGAGCAAGATGTGATGACGAATGATATGAATTGCCAATAAATCTGGCCAAGACACATTTTTTAATTCAATTTGATCTGGTCTTGAAAAACTATGAACAAGCTAAGATAATGAAATATTCACCCGAAAGACACATAGCCAACAAAAAATCAGGACTCCATCCCAGACGCCGTTGTATTTACGCAGCGGCGGCGGCGGCGGCGGCAGCAGCAGCCACGTTCTGCATGCCGGTGGTGGGTTGCACGCCCACACGCTCCTTGGCCAGCAGATCAACCAGCAGAGGGTCGGGACGGCTATCACGGGCCGGGTAGAGGCCAGCCTGGTTGGCCTTGTACTTGCGCACGCTGTCGAGGTAGATGTCGAACAGGTACGACGAGTCAAGCGGGCCGCCCTTGGCCTCCGGGTGGAACTGGGTGCTGAAGATCGGACGGGACTTGTGGATCATGCCCTCGTTGCTCGAGTCGTTCAGGTTGGTGAAGTACGGCTTCCAGTCCGAGGGCAGAGTGGAGGCGTCGACCGCGTACCCGTGGTTCTGGCTGGTGATGTGGCAGCGACCCGTGCTCAGATCCAGGGCGGGAATGTTGTGAGCCCGGTTACCGTACTTAAGCTTGATGGTGCGCGCGCCCGCGGCCAGAGCCAGGAGCTGGTGACCCAGGCAGATACCGAAGATGGGAATCTGGGAGGTCTCCATCAGGCGCTGCAGGTGGTAGGTGGTGTCCTGGCAGTGAGTCGGGTCACCGGGGCCGTTGGAGATGAAGACACCGTCGAAGTGGTGGGCCACCTTGTGGATCGGGTAGTCGAAGGGGAACACAGTGACGCTGGCGCCACGGTTGACCAGGCTGCGCAGGATGTTCTCTTTGACACCACAGTCGATGACGGCAACGTGGCACTGGGGGTCAGTGGCGCTCACGTGGAAGGGCTGCTTGGTGCTGACTTGGCGCACTAGGTGGATCTGCTCCGGGTCCGTGAAGGCCTCGTCCTCGTTGGCATCGTACTCCTCGCCGACGGTGATCCGAGCCAGGGAGGAACCCTGCTCACGGAGGTAGGTAACAATGGCACGGGTATCGACGCCGGAGATGGCGGGGACACCCTCACGGGCACACCACTGACCCAGGCTCTCGACGGCAGTCCAGTGGCTGTACTGCTCGGCGACGTCGGCGACAACCACACCAGAAGCCTGCAGGTGCGGAGACTCGAAGTACTTCAAAAGACCGTTGGGGTCCTTCTCCGCAGACGGCACACCATAGTTGCCAATTAGAGGCTGGGTAAAGACCAGGATCTGGCCCCGATACGAGGGGTCGGTCAGAGACTCCGGGTAGCCGACGAGCGAGGTGGTGAAGACCGCCTCGCCGGAGATGTTGGAGCGGGCACCGAACGACTTGCCGGTGAAGATGGGACCATCACGAATGGTGAAGGTGGCCGGTTCCAGGGGAGCACGCTGGCGAACAGTGGCCATGAAGCGGGAGGCAACCGGCTGCTTCATGGTGGTGAAGGCGGCAGCCCTGGCCGGTGCCGCCTTGAATAAATGGGCGAACATTTTTGTTTTGTGGGGTTGACAGAGAGAGAGGAATTAACAAGCGGATTGGGGTTCGTCAATTCAGTTCTTGGAGGCTTTCCAGAGGTGGTCTATAGGAGGTGAGGTCAGTCAATGCCATTGGATTGAGGCGGCGGGGGTCACATACCCGAGATGTAGTCCTGGGAGGTGAAGATCGAAGGTGCCAAACACATAAGCGCGACGGAAGGGTAACCAGTCAGCAGAAAAGAGAAAGTATGCCGCTTAGTAGGACATAGAGGTGAGCAATGGTGGATTGATCGTTGTGGAGTTGGTAGTCTTGAGTTTGGTGGTTGGGAGGGTAAGGAAAAGAAGAGAGAAAAGCAGAGAAGGGTTTTCCGGGCGGTCAAATCAAGTGACTCAGTGCGACCATCGGGGGTCGCCTCACCGACTTTGGAGCCCGGGCCAATGAGAGGGCAGCGAGATCGGGGTTAGGTAATGCCCCCGATAGGCAGAAGATAAGGGTCCAGATAAGGCCGCAGGCACTCATTTGTTCCCTCCGGTAAGCTAACGACTGTAGGATTTGTGCAGCATTCAACGGTTTCCATGGAGAACGTTCATGCCTATCGTCTCTCGGTCTTTCCATACTCACTGGACATTCGAGAGGATGGCGGCAATCCAACCACCATCTTCCTCGGCGCCGATGACCTGGGCCCATCGCAGATGCAGTCTCTGGCCAAGAAGAATGGCCATGAGTGTTGTTTCGTGTTGTCCGGGCAAGCCGGAGAACACGCTGATTGCCACTTAACTCTAAGATATTGGGTCCCAAACCACGAAATGGAAATGTGCGGTCATGCTACCGTCGGCACCATCTGGCTGATGGACCATCTCGGATTGCTGCCCGCAACTGATGACATCCGCATTTCGACTCGATCGGGCGTCGTCGAGGCTCAAGTACTCAAGGCCGAAGACGGGTCACCGGTCGTTCGTGTGTCTCAGCCGGCTGGCTCGCTCGAAGATTTACCTTCCAACCGGGTTCTCGACATTGTATCCTGCTTAGGCATCACCAAGGGTGATCTAGCGCCCAGTTACAAGGTACACAATGGTCGTACATCGCGGACCAAGACATTGGTTCCGTTGAAGAGCCGCGAGATCCTCAACGGGCTGAATCCGAATCCGGACTTGGTCCGCGAAATATGTGAAAATATTGACTCAACTGGATTGTATCCCTATGCTGTCCTCAACGCCCAAGACCAACTCGTTGAGGCACGTCAATTTCCGAGATCCTCTGGCTATGCTGAAGATCCTGCAACTGGTATTGCGGCGGCGGCCCTCGCTTTTAGTCTTCTAGACAATACCGTTTTCTGTCGGGAGACGGCCAAACCCGTACGTGTTAGACAAGGATGGACGATGGGTAAACCGTCTGAAATTCAGGTTCATCTGAGACAAAATGACGGTAAACTGTCAGGTTGCTGGATATCAGGCAAAGTGAGGTGGGCCACTACTGAGTCTGTACACGATACGTAAATTTCAGATAATTCGAGGCAGTAGAGGTCTAAACCTCTAGATCATGTCTTTCCTTCAGGCATTAAGATCCGCCTAGTCTGGCCCTAATTATGGTTCAGATGAAAGGAGTAGGCAATGAACTATGTAATAACTTATAATGTGCCGGTGGAAAGTCCCCGGATAATCCTGGTGTGACAGAGAGATAATGGCCCGAAGTACTGTGCGGGTATAAAAGAGACAACCAATAAGTAACATTGATGATGGGAGTAACTGATGATGCATGCCTGGCACTATCTCTGTTGTTGGGCCGTCTTGGGGTCCCTCAGCGATGCCCTCACACAAAAACCCCTGGAAAAGCCAGGCTGCGACGGGACCGGCCTGGTCGATCCAGATGGCCGCTGCAACGGCGACGGACTTATTCACGACCCGCCTCCCCGGGACCGCGAAGGATTTTACTTCGAGAACCCGTCGACTGACTGCGCGTACGTGACGCAGATGCACATCTGGGACTCATTCAAGGATCTGGAGAAGGACATGACCAAGCTGTTCACGCTGATCCACAAGAATGTCAGCTTCACGGTGGTGGGCCATCATCCGATTGCCGGTCACTACCATGACCTGATGCATTTCTACGTGAATGCCCTGCGTCGGGTGAGCGTGCTATTTTTCGATCATGCAGACAAGTTCCAGATACATCCCCAGGCGATCCATGGCGGGTGCAATGATCGGTGGTCGGTGCAGGAGGTGAATTTTCGGGGAGTGATGAATTCTGGTAAGTGATACTATACTGTCTGTGGAGAGCAGCGACGCTTACGGTCAATGAATAACAGGGGAAGATTTCGACATCGTCAACGTGTGGGTGACCCGCTGGGGCCATCACGGGCAGATGGTTGAGATTCGGACATACATCGATGCCGCTCGGATCATGGAGGCGCTGCACAAGAATGAGATCTGGTGGAACGGGACGACGTTCCGAGACAATCTGCAGTACATGCCGGGACCAGCGGGGATGCCGGATATGAAGGAGTTGGAAGGGTTGATGGGATATCCCAATGGCAGCAAGTATGAAGAGGAGACAACGAGGTAGTTAGAAACAATAAATAAATAATGTGTGGGCATTATTATGAGATACCCGGAACCATTTGATCCGATACAAATAGAGCTACTGAAATATATAGGCTTCATGATTCTTCTCCAATAGGAATTCTGTGCTACGTAGATATTGTGTTCCTTAAAAGCCCTCGACTGTAAATGCGGGGACGGGCCGATCTCTCCAACTCCAACTCCGCCATGACTGACTCCACGCCGCGCAAGCGTTCGCGCGCCGCCTGCATATCCTGCCAGGCGCGCAAGCGTAAATGCTCCGGCGACCAGCCCTGCTCGACTTGCGCCCAGTCTGGCGTTGAATGTATCTACAGCGCCGTGCCTAAGAAGCGCGCCCGATCGAGCAGTCTGTACCGTCCAAGTCTCTCTGCGCCCGACGAACAACGACCAGCCCTGAATGGCTATTCTGCACTTCAGCAGCCTCGCGTAAAAGGCGAAACTTACGCGCTCGAGGCCAATTCCGGCGCCGCGTTTGTGCGAAAGCTAGGGCTGCGAATTGACCCGGCCCACGCACCGCGACTGCATCTTTTCGCATGGAACGTCGGCGAGCGACGGCGGTCGCCCGGAGTGTCCGACTCGGCGCCGACACCGTCGATCATCACCAAGATTGTTTCACAAGAAGAGATGCAGCGCTTGACCGGGATCTTCTTCGACAAAATCCATTCATGCTACAACTTCTTGGAAAAGGAGACTGTCTCCGCAATGATCGCCAAGCGCTGGTCCATTGACCCGCCAGATCAATCTTATGATGCGGTATTATGCGGCGTTGCAGCCTTGGGACACCTCTTTTCACAACGCGAGATAGTGTCAACAGAACTACAGCTCGTGGAGACAGCGCGTCTCCTCTTGGAGAAGAGCGTCTTGTCCGCCGAGACCCCTTCTGTGGATACAGTATCAGGCTGGGTCCTGCGCGCCGCGTATCTGCGCATGACAGCCTCTCCGCATGCAGCCTGGATGGCCAGTTGCACGCTGATGCATCTCGTCGAAGCCGCCGGTTTGCACCTCGAACCCCAGGACCGCGAGGCAGCAGGACTCCTCCCCACTCGCCCCAATGGCGACGGCACCACCTCCAGCAACCAAGACACCCGCCGGCGGCTGTTCGGCATGGCACGACACCTCAACACCTGGATCTCATTTGACCTCGGCCGCTCGCGCGTCGTCCTCCACGGCGCCACGGCTCTCCCCCAAACCCCCGCGGCCCGCCAATGGCAGCACCCCAAGGCGCACGCGCAGACCTCTTCCATCTCCTCCCTCTCTCCGAAAGCCTCGACCCAACCGGCCCAGCACCGCAGGATCTCCCAGAACTCGAAACAGCCCTCACCGCGGTGCTTGATCTCGTCTACCCCGGCCCATCGTTAATCCTAGTGCAATGCAACCTAATGCTCTGCATCTACCGGCGCCTACGTGCTCTGAACGCCCACGCACTATTATCCGGTCAATTACTTGACCGCGTACTCGGACTAGCTGGGCGTGCCCTCCACGCAGCGAGGGGCATGGTCGCCTCCAACTGTCCGTGGCACCAGGTTGCCAACGTTCCCTTCCAGATTGTCTGCACACTGCTGGCCATTGATAACCGTGCAGCTCTCGATCTTCTTCCCGATGCGATGCGCACCCTCCGCGAGGTTCTAGCTGCTTACGACACACCGGTCATGCGCGAGGCTTACTCGACTGCTTACCTGCTGATCGCCATGCATCAGCGACGCAAGGAAGACGATACGCGTGCTTTAGCGGAGGTGTTGCGCGTTAATGCTGCCGCTGCGGCTCCGGCTCCTACCGCAACAAATGGTAACGCTACGGCAAACGAGGATTTATCCCGTGAACCGACTGCGCAGCCTCAGCCTCAACTACCTCAGCCGCCGCCCCAGATACCCGAGCCCAATGGCCCGGTCTCTGATGCAGAGCTCTCCTGGTTGGGCGATCTGGTTATCGATATGCCCAGTCTCCAGAACTTCGATCTGGATCAGTTCCTCCTGACGGACGTGCCCTGGCCACTGCCTGAGATGGGCATTTAGAAGGAGTCATGTATGGGCCTCGGTGTCTCGAGCGTAAATGCAAGAAACACAACATTTGTTGTAGCGCCGGAAGTAGATACCCAATAAAACCCTTTAATCACTGCATCAGACATGGCTTGATATAAGGTTCTCACGACATATGGGATTATGTTAAAAGTGTATGAAATTAGCGGGTGCTGAGGTATTCCGTTTATCTCCTCGTCCACCTCTTATATATCTGTTTATCTAGTGGGTCCGGATGCGCGGACTCTATGACACGGACTTTAGCCTGCTAACCGGAACCAAATCGACCTGAATTAATGTTGCTCTACGAGATAACTACGAGGCAAACCTTCCAGGCCATGTCTAAGCGATAATTGGCTGTGCAAGCTGCAACCCCTTCCGCGGAGTTTCGTTAGCCCCATACCCACGGGTGCGGGCGGACATCAGCTCGGCCACCTGCAACGATCGTCGGGTACACAGATATTCCAACCTTCCATAAATTCCCCCATCAATCATTGGTCAACCATAGTCATAGTTAGTTACGTGTAAAGTGGCTTTGTTCTGCATCTGCCCTATGTCACTTGAGACCGACGAAACTGGGAAAACGTTCCAATCATGGTCATGCACGGGCTCCTGCACTGATAGATCAGATTCAACCCGTGGACTTGGTACATTTACATCGGTACCGTAGTCGTGCCTAGCTTTAGACCCACGTCACGACCGGCGGTTACCAGCTCCCAGACCCATATCCGCACCTAGCTTCTTACGAGTTTCTGCAAGTGGGTGGGGTAGCATCAGTGATGTACTGTGGTATGATGCGTACCAAAAAAACCATGTCCCTCCCACACGAACAGGCATTAGTCAATAAGTCGTATTTCCCCCCGCCTTTTGGGTCTGAAATTTCTCATCATTCCCTATTAATTCTCTCACCACCTACCTTCTCATAATCTCATATGATAGTAGCCTGTGCCATTCATAATGTCGGCAAAAGTTTATGTTGGGTAGGTGCCAAGTGGTTTTATCAACTCTCACCCACTGGCCTGCCACTTACACTATTTGAACAAAAAGGAATCTGTCCTGGAATACAACGGATGAAGGCTTACGAGGAGCATTTTCTGAGTATGGTCAAATTCTCGATGCAGTACGTCACGTTCGGTGGCACCTATAGCCACGCTTTACTTGGGTAGAGCGTATGCAAAGATCACGCTGGGTGCTAACAGTGTACAGATCGTCATGCGTGACCGTGACACGGGTCGGGCGAGAGGTTTCGGCTTCGTTACCTTTGGTGATCCTACCGAAGCAGAGGCGGCAATAACAGCGCTCAATGACCAAGAGTAAGTATACGTGCTCTGTGAAACTTATGTTGAAAAAAACAATGCCTAACGAAGTGTCATATCACAGGTTAGATGGTAGACGTATTAGAGTCAACCTCGCTAATGCTCGCCCTTCTGGTGGTAGTGGATACGGTGGTGGGGGCTACGGCGGTGGTGGCTACAGTGGTGGCTACGGCGGTGGTGGTGGTGGTGGTGGCTACGGCGGTGGTGGCTCTGGTGGTGGCTACAGCGGCGGATATTAGGGACATGGCTGTTAGGCCCAATAGTGACAGTAGCAAAGCTGAATGTCGTATCATTGGCTACACGGGTCTTGAGGTGGACGAGTCTTTTGCTCGCCATATTAAGTGGTGCGCTCGAATTTCCGTTATTGAGCCCAAGAAATCCTGTATAGAGATCGTCACTAGACAAAGAGGCTCGTCCCAGTTGCAGCTTGCAGTTGACTGAATAGCCAGTCCCACTTTGTTGACCCAGGAGGTAAAGGAAAAGGGCCTGATGCAGCTGCCATCCTCACAGAAACACAGTCGACGGTTGAAATTCTGCCCTGTACCGTGCTAAGCGCGACCCTATACTTTGTTTAACGGAAGGGGCAAGTGAAACTCGCAAAGCGACCAGTCCTGCCTAATATGTTGCTGGAGGCGGGCGACCAAGTTTGATGATCTTGCAGGATCCCTTCGTTATCCCTGTTACTTCCCAAAAAAGTTCTTGTGGCATTTAGGTATACATTTATTGCGCGGACGTAAGGGCTATGCATGCAGATGACAGGGAGGAAGATGTACGGTGGTCCTAACGGATACCCCGAGATCAAAAGCAGCAGCTTCAATCCTTCTTCGTATGCAGTGTCCCCCCGTGTCTCTTGGAACCCACGCCAAAAGACCACGCCACGCGTACCAGTCGGAGAACCACCCAGAGGAATCCCAGTCCAACCACAAGCACAGTTCCTAGCTCGATATTCCTCGCCTGGAACAGGCCCTCTGCGCCGCGGAGACGCAGCACAGGGACATCGATATGCTCCACGAGTTTCGCTGCAGCAGTAGAGGAAGAAGAAGAAGAAGGATGTAATTGGAAGAACATAGTGCGCGGGCCGAAGAGGCCATCCCAGCCTAGATTCGTGCGGTCGAAGGGGTTAGTCCCCATCTTCGTGCCGTCCTCGGCAGTACAGGCCCAGAAGACGACGGGCCAGGGTATGTCCGCGGGGCGGTAGCCTGATTCCGAGGGATCCAGATACCGCAGGTGGAGTGGGATCGTAGCGGTCCAATTGACCTCAGTTGACTCCGCCTGAGGAGTGGCTAGTTCAAGCAGCCAGGTGGAGCCCCAGCGCGGGATTACCCAGTCTGGGGCTTCGAGGTCGGTTTCACCGGCTAGAGCGCGGAGGGCGACGAGGTTGTGAGATTGGAGGAAGAGGGAGTCGGATGTTCCGAGCTGGTACTGGTCTCCGAAGACGGTGGAGGGGAGGGTGAGATATGTGTGCAGGGCGCAGGTTGCGTACTCCGGAGCAGGGGGTCGTTGGAGGGAGGATTGGGGCATTGAAATGGATAGTGTTGGGTGCAGGCCTGTTGGAGGCGGGAAGGAGATTGTATAGCTTGCCTCTTTGGGCAGCGGGTGGTGACGCGATGGAAATGAGAACATGGTCGGCTCTGTGTGTGGTTTGAAGTCAGCTTATTTGCTTACACGCCATGGGAAGGTCTGAGAAGAGCAGGTCCGTCCTTACTTAGTTTCTTGTCCTTCCCAACCACAGCTAGTAACCCTCCCATCTTCAAGTCCTCAAGATCAACAGCCTTGTCACCGCTCAAGATCCCAAACTCGACCTGGTCTGCGCCCGAGGTCGGCTTCCGGATCTCCTCCGTCCAGCCGCCGCTCGGCGGACTAGTCCAAAGACCCGTCAGGGTCAGGGTGTGCGAGATACTGTCATAGTCGATATCGAGCGAGTCCGCCGAGAGCAGGGAGTGGGCATTATCGAGACATGCGCGGTCCTTGCGCTGTTCACAGGCCGTGCGTCTGATGTAATCGACTAGTTGTTCCAGCGAGGGAAGTCGAGTGTGGAATTGGAGCGTAGCAGAGGCCGCGAATCGAGTCGAGAGGAGCGGCGGCGTGATGAATGACTCCTGGATTTGAAGCGGTGCGGTTAGAACTGGCCCGTTTGACAAGATACAGTGAGGGCTCACCTCTGGATTCGCGCAGTCGACCCCATCCCCGAACACTGCGCGCAGCAGCGGACACAACGTCTCCCTGCCAAGTTTCACACCCATTCAGTCTCCCATATTTGTAAACTTAGGTCCAGACGTCTAACTCACGAGGACCGATCCGAGGACAGGGGGGTGTAGAAAACATGTAGACCGGGCGAGACTCTGCTGGCAAAGGGCGCAATGGCATTGTAGGACCGTTCGGTCGACCAGCGGAGATGAAGCTCGTGCGACTGCTGGAGGACGGTGCGGAGCTGGTACTCTCATTCGTTAGCTACTTTCATTTCCGAGGAGCGACACCACGCTGAGCGTTGCTTGATTCTCACCTCCTCCGGGAGCTCGTCCAGTCCGACGGTGATTCGGTCTTCGCGCGCAGCGTCGAGGGCGCGAACCGACAGGGCCGAAGCGGTCAGCTCGGCTTGAGATTTGTCGAAGGGGGCATTGTCGGGCTGGACAAAGGTGATTCGGCGCTTCATTTTGGTAGCATGTTATTATTATTGGGGGGAGAAGATGCGAGGATAACTGAAGCATTTGAATGTTTGGATGATGTGGAGGTCTGCCGGGGCCTAAACGGGTTTAGTGTAAATTGTTGATATTTGCTTGTATAGATATGTTTAGATAGATTCTTTACTATTTTATTCCTATGTGATAGACAGTCAAATGGACTCAGAGCATAATAATTAACCGCTTCCCACTGTCTCTGCATGTTGAACAAAAATAACATTCATTTCATCGCTGTCGTTGAATCAACCTCTCCAAGAAAACAGAATAATTGCACGCTCACACCAACGCCGAAGATATGCTGGAAAAAAAAAAAAAAAGGAAAGACCAAAACTCAAAAGTTTTATGGGAGAACGTCTTTGAGAATCTCCTTTTGTTGTGCTGTCAAGGTGGTGGGGAACTTGACATTGACGCGGACGACCAGATCGCCGCGCTCGCTGGGTTTCTTGGAGACCACCATGCCCTGACCCGGGTAGTGTTCCTCAAAGCCCGGCTGCGTCGGGCCAGCCTTCTGGACGCGGATGGATTTGCCGTCGATGGTGCGCACGATCGTTTCCCAGCCTGTGAGGGCCTCCTTGAGGGTGAGGTCCACGGTGACGATGAGGTTGTCGCCGACACGCTTGAAGACCGGGTGCTCTTTCTGTGATAACGTTAGTTTGATTCATAGCTCAAATAAATCGGGTGTATGGGAAGGACCTACCTCTTTGACAATCAGATGCACATCTTGTCGACCTCCTTCTTCTTGATCCCCAACATTCTTGTACTTGATCTTCGAACCAGCCCGCAGACCAGGCTTGATGCTAGCTTCGAGCGTCACATCCTGAACACTGCGCTTGCCACTCGAATCAAACGCCTTACTCTTCGTGACCACCTTCTTAGTGGTCCCGCTGAAGATCTCCTCGAGAGTCAGCGGCAGATCCTTCTCAATGACAGTGGGTTCAGGCGTCGGGGCGCGGCGGGCATTCTGCGAAAATCCACCTCCGCCACCTGGACGAGCAGTCCGGAAACCACCACCGCCGCCACCGCCGCCGCCGCCGCCCATTCCATTCAGCATCGAGAATATATCATCATCGTCAAAGCCCATACCCCCGCCGCCACCGCCGGCTTTGGCGAAGTTGCGGAAGATATCATCCGCGGCGCTGAATCGGAACCCGCCGCCGCCACCGCCAGGTCCAGTCGAGAAGTGGAATGTGCGAGTTCCTCCGCCGCCGGGCATGCCGCCGAACGAAGAGAATCCTCCAGGCATGCCTCCTTCAAAGCCGCCGCCGGGGGCACCACCACCAGGCGAAGGGGGAGGGCCGCCGCGGAGCAAATACTCGAGGCCGAATTGGTCGTAGACTTTTCGTTTCTCGGGGTCTGACAACACTTCGTATGCTTGGGATACATCTGTTCGATACAAAGTTAGTTGTGCCTCTTTACCATAAGACTAGAGAGAGAGACCATACCTTTGAACTTCTCTGCGGCATCCTTGTTGTCCTTGTTCTTATCGGGGTGCCACTTCAATGCTGCTTTTCGATAGGCTTTCTTGATCTCATCCTGAGTTGCGTTGGGCTTGATGCTCAAGGCATCGTACAATTTGGTTTCAGCAACCATGGTGTGTAGTGTGTGGATGATAGGTCAGGCTGGGAGCAATTGAATGTGAGGCGGGAAGTTAAAAACCAGGGTTGGAAGCTGGCCACCCGGTCGGATGCAAGAGGGTTCTCGAAGGGAGGAGAATGTTCGGTAGGATTCAGTAGGAAGGGATGGAAAAGAGGGCGGGATTCGAGATAAGAATGGGGATGGTGAACAGAGTTGTGTATGTAGCAGGACACGAGAAAGGATGCGAGCTAGTTAGTACTGAGTGAGGTGCGTTTAAGAGTGAAGAGAAACCGGTGAGCGAGTGAGCGTGGGGAAGCAGCGCAGTGACGTGTGACGTCGTCGAAGCTTCTGGAAGATTCGATCCTGACGGCGTTGAGGGAGGATGTGGAAAAAAGAAAAGAAAGAAATAAGCACAACGAGACCTCGCATATACTCATCCATCTACACTCTCTATCACTGTATCTTGTATGCAATGGTCTCTCTAACGCTTGTTCTACTATACTAGACAGCTCCCGGTCCATGGCATCATCATGCCCCACTTGGTGGTGGTACACACATCCGGTCACCCTTCCTTCTCCACAACAATATAATCCCGAATTGTCGCAGTGCCATTGACCACACGGGCAATTTGCTCTGCAGTGCACGTTGATTCCAGAGCAAGAATATAGCACACCGGGCCTGGGCTCTCGGGGACCTGATTTTTAATGTGCCAGGTCGAATCTGGTCCACGAGTCGAGTAGGAGCCATTGGCAGCAATGTCCATCTTACCCGTTGCTAAATCCCGATTGAACAGAGTGCGGTGGAAGATCTCATATGCCGTCTCGGGCTGGTACGCAGGCACCTCATGGCCGGCTTCGTATACACGAGTAAATGAAAAGTTCCCGTGCTGGCGCACCTGCCCGCCGACATGCGACGAATTGGTGTGCAGCGGTGTATATCCTGCTGCGCGGAAGGCAGCTGCGTCGGCATAGTTGACGCCTAGACTCACCTCCTCGCCGCCGATCCAATTGCAGGCGTAGTCCCGGTCGCCATATACCAGAGCAACCTTGATCCCCGAATCCAGCACATACGCCAGATCGTCGAGGTATCCCCGCACGTCTGAGCGTGGGTAGTCGCCCGTTGAAGAGAAGGCGTTGTAGACGGCATTCGAGGTTTCGGTATAGTTGATAGGCACACCTAATGCCTGCTGCACCCAGTGCTGGTTCAGGAACCCCAGGAAGTAGTTTGGCGGGTATCGATCTAGTTCCACGTGCGAAATATCATAGTAGCCTCTCCCGGAGTACGAGAAATAGGCACCCTCAACTGCATTACTGCAGAGGCGATCGGCCACCTGACAGGCCTGGTTCACGGCGGGGTTGTTGCCATACATCTGCGGGTCGCCCTCCGCTGCGAAAGCCCGGCAAAGGTCGATCTTGTCGCGGCATCCGCCAGGCCGGTTCCAGGCGTGCATGGCTTTCTTGTAGACAGTCTCGTTGATGGCATTGATGCCGTAGGTGTTGTTGAATGCCATATGGGGGTAAGACGGCCCCTGCACGAGGAGATCCACACAGCCGTTGATGATGCCCAGTGTGTCAAGATGGATGTAGTGCGTTTGGCCGGGAGCGGTGATACTGCCGTTGGAAATCTTCTCATTCTGCTGTTGGAAGAAGGCCGTAAACGATGGGCCGTAGCGACCACCATACGATTCGGTCCAGATACTGACGCGGTCGTCGAGCGGCTTATATGCGGGAAATTCGGAGAACCAGGTCTGTGCAAATTGCCACAGGGAGCGCGCGGAGTTCTCGGTGCTGTTGGCGGACGCTCTCTGCTTCCCGCTGGCGGTCGTGCCGACGTAGAATGTATTATTCTGTTTGGGCACTCCGTGCGCAAACTGAGACATGTTCCACGATGCACTAACCTGGTCATAAGTGCCATTCGTCGCGACGTCGTAGCTGAAACCGACCTGATTCGGCTGGTCGATATACAGCATGTTGACGTGGTTATTCCACGACCAAGGGTTCAGCTCCGTGGAATTGGAGTCTTGGTTCACACGGCACGGGCCATTCTCCTGCATAAGTCCGATCATGGACGAGCTGCCGGGGCCTCCATTCATCCAGATGGACAGAGGCGCATTCTTGGAGTCGTTACGTGCCTCAAAGAACCAGAAGAAAGTATTGATTGGGTAGGCTTGCTCGACATGCACGTTATCCAGTGTCCCCGGAGGCAGGTGCACATACCCGGAGTAAGACTTGACTCCTGGGGTCGTTTCACAGATACCCGGCTATATATGAGTTAGTTTTGAGCCAGGCCTTTTGGGAGGGAATTTGTAATTGCCTCTTTATATGAGATCTTCACGCCTTTCTGGTGCTTCGACTCCACTACCCTCAATCCCTCGGGTGTGGGCGGAAAGTACTGCGCAGCCGCGGAGCCGACCAGCGCCACCGTGGCCAGCCAACTCAAGTAGAGAAACATAAGGCACAGTCACCAAAAAGAGAGAGTACAGGCTTCACGGAGAATATGGGAGACTAGTTGACTAAAATAGTCGCTCATACTGGCAATAGTGGAGCAGGAACAATCGACGCCTCATCGATTGTCCGACGCAGAGCCAGAGGAGACATTGCTCCATTCGGACTAGGCATTGCGGATGTAACGACAGACGAGATGTGGGGAACGTTCGCAAAAAGTGTTGACGTTGGGTCAGGAACATCTATAGTGGAGACGTCAGGCGACTTGAAGTGCCCAAACTACCTTATTTCTGACTCCCGTCTTTTCACCTTTCTGTTCCCCCAGATACATCTACATCACTGACACTAGTCATTCTAATTATTAATTTTTGCAACTACATTGCCAAGACTATTTGAATCCGTATTGCACCGAGCCAAGACAGTTCGAGTCCGACACAGACGGTTGATAGTGGGCCTGCCGATCCCGGCGATCTACGGATCTGTAGATCGTAAATTGAAGCAAGTTTCGTTGTAATAGGGAGAAAATGCTTTTCGTTAGCAGGGATGTTCGTTAGTCCATGATCCGTTAAATCGAGGAATTATTGCTGGGTACTTTCTATCCAAAAATTAAACAGAAGAAAAGTAGCGAAGAAGAAAACAACTCCGCGTATTGCAGCTTCAGGCTCGTTCGGCTGTCAGGTGCACCAGGTACCGGATTCGAACCTGGTCAGGGTTCCAGACGACGTATTCATTGTAAAGTAGTTTAGGGTTGTGTCGCCTCAAGTATCCCTTGTGTACATCAGGCATCGAGACACCTCTGAGACTTGGATGCACGTACATGGCATCATGCCAGCAACGTAAGTAATTTTTTCCTGCACCGATGGCAGAGATGTGGTTGTTAGCCGTAGCCTGTTCCTTTGCCTTGTAATTGGCACTGGTGTTCGCGATTGTATTCGGCCCCATCTCTACCTCACATAGCAGCAGCAAGGCCTTGTTACCGAGACCTTGATGATCGCAGTACCCAATCGATTTGCTTGACATGTCGGCGAAATAAATTCCTTCGCCGAACATGCAGGGTCTACCTCCGGTTTTGACAAAAGGCCGGACTTGCAACCCTCGGTTGAGGATCCCGACAAGCCCGGCGCAGGTTGACCCATGCCACAGAAGCATGCGATTGCTGGCACGGTTACCGGCCGACTTGGCTAGCTTTTCAGCTTCACCGGGGCGCTCAAGCCGCACAATTCCAAGGAGCTGTGAGTGAGTAGACTGTGAGTAACTGGTTAAATAATATGAACCAGAAGGTCACATACTGCGTATTTGTACCTGTGTGTAGTCCCGATTGAAAGGTGCAAGTAATCGCTGATGGCTCTGAACTCGACGGTATCTTTTGACACTTTTTTATTATCAAAAACTCAGCAATGTTTCTCAGGCCTTGTGGAAGAATGTAAGTTGACACATACCTGGAGCCAATTCCTTCAAGTTCAGTTTACTCACTACTCGATCCAGGTTATGCACTGTGGTGTCTGGGCCTAGTCGGCTCATCATTTCTATGGAGACCTTCATGTCCAAAAGGGTGCTGAGAACCCGAAGCTCATTCTCAATGTCCTCACTATCTTCGTACAAAACGAAAGTCCCCCCTACCGATGAGGGGTTAACGATGATGGAGTAGAGTTTGCTCAGTCGCACGGTGTGCCAGGGAGTCTTGGGATTCTTCAGTGCAGCCTTCTCTGGGTCACTCATGCCAGGTCTCACCAGATCCCTCAACCTTTTCTGAATTGCAATCGCAATCCTCAGAGAATGTTCGCTCAGTTCGCCCGATGTCCTGCCTGCTCTTGTTTTCCAGACCTGTTTGGAGATATTGAAGTTGTGCTTGTCGAATATGAACTCCATAACCTCTTTGACGGAGCCGGTTAAAGTGCATTTCACTGCCTTGTCCGTTGTGAGATCTAAAATATCTCCTTCGTCGTCATAAGTGCGTGCAATGAACATTTTGTGCCCTATCTTGGGCACAGCGTTCCTGTTCCCCCAGGAATGGCCACTCTCCTTTTTGAAAGTGGCGAGAAACTGCTTTTTGGCCGCTTCAAGACTTGTCGAAGTTTCCAGGACCCTTCCTTCGTGAGGATAACCCCCGTTGCTCAAGCTGAACCACGTTTGGTAAGTTTTTGCCTTAACATCGAAGAGGATTTGAAAGCGAGTCAGGTTGGCTGCATTAGGCAAAGCGGAAGGGTTGAGATCGGCCAGGGTCGCACCCATATCAAGCCACTCTCGTCTATCCACACAATAGTATCCTTGACTGTTTCCAGTGCAAATTCGTCAATGGCCTGATCATGGTACAACCCATTAAAGACGAGCACTTACATCTGTTCAAAGTGGTATCATACCGCACGTCAATAGGCATGCAGAGCTTTTTGATCCTTGTGATCTTGATCTTCTTTGAGGGGCGCGTGCCACCCTCTGAATCCGCATCAAGCCTACGTTTTCGGGACTGAGTGGGAGTGTCCTCACCCTGCGTTACTGGGAAGGCAAGTTCACAAAAATTGCTCTCCTTGAGTAAGAATGTCTGCGTGCTTAGGGGGGTCTTTTTCTTAAGCGACTCGGTGAGCCAGCGCAGCGAAACAACTGCGCAGCTCTGGAGGGCTCTAGCTCGCCGGACTATAACAGGATAATGGACAGAATTAGAGGGTGGTCAACAGCAAGGTAGGAGGAATTGAAGGTATACCCTTCCAGGTCTGGCAGTCCACGTCTCGCTGTGTTGTGACAAGATGAGTGCATTGGTGGGTAACCAGGTATGCAAACCGGGCGCCCTGTTCCTCCACCACCTGCTTTACCTGGTCTAAGGAACAGGATGTCAGTAAGGTCGCAGCAGACAGCGCTCATTGACTCACGATGCCTTATGCCGGAAAGGTTCCCAGATGCCGCGATAACCAGGCCAGACAGTGGTTTCGGATTCATGATGAGGCGATGGGAAAAACAGGGAAGATACGCTGCTAAAGCAAGGTGTCTCTCCTGAGGCAAAGCTGTAGCAGCTGGTCTTATATTAGACAAAGTTCGAAGTCTCTCAGGGAAGTCCAAGGTGGTCAGAGCCATACAGGTAAGAGAGTGAGCAAGATGGTGTGGTGGATGCGGTATGATCAGTGATGCTGAACGAGGAAGTCCAGGGCAGCAAAGCCTTTATATTAGTGTTCGCCAAAGGGAGAACAAAGGCATGGATGAGGCATCTCCAAGAAGAGTGCTTGCCTCTTACTCTTAAATGGAAAGTACTCTCAACTTGGTGCCAGCAATCTGAACACTAACGAGCCCTAAGTGCGCCCTGGCCCTTGTGTATCTTCTTACCAATATCATTTACCATTCTAGTAGCTGGGCATGAGTAAGTAGACTTTGGATTGCCGAATATCTGGGGACTATAATATAGAGAAGACACTCTAAGCACAGTGCCATCTAAAAGTGTATACAGGTACCACCCGGGAAGAGCTACATTCAGGAACTATATTTGGCCAAGTATAGTAGCAAGGGCAAAGCTACGGCCGTAGACAAAGAAACGCCATAGGACAGAGCAAGCAATTGCATTTTTAACTATCGTTAGCAGAGACTATCCGCAGACAAGCCACCAACCAAACAAGCGCACAAAAAGACAAACAGTAATCCCCGAGAAGACATCCACAAATCCACCTAACTAACCTGCCCTAACCTAATTACTAGTAAAGTAATTAAAAGCAACCACATCCCCCAACCCAATCTCCTTGGCCCAAGCATCAAGATCATAGCGCATGCGGCTCCAGTTCCCCAACGTCTTTCCATCCGCAGGCGCATACTTCTTATAATCAAAGCCCTCAGGCTGCTCATACAAGAAGAAGGTATACCGGTGCGGGGAGCTACCCGGCGGCGGGGCGGGACCGATATAGTTGGCGACGAAGGGGGCGTCTGTGCTCAGCGATTCGCCGGACACTTTCACATCTGGCTGGATCCAGTGCAGGATGGGGCCGAGGACGTCGAAGGAAGGGAAGGGGGCGTCGATGTCTAGGCTGATTGCCAGGTAGGTTTTTGTCGGGGAGGCTGAGGGGAAGGATAGGGTTGGAGGGGACTGGGCGTCTATATTGTATCATATTAGTTTTATAGGGAAAGAGAATAATTATTACCTAGGGTAGATGGGGGCGAAGAAAGAACTTACCAGCTCGAGGGATGTACTGTCCCGGCTCCACGCTTGTATGCTGCCCCACCTTCAAGCCCAGGAGCTTGGACTTGTCATTCTCGATGAGGGCGAGAGCGGCCTTGACGCTTTTTTCGGAAGGCATTGTTGCAAGACTCGTGGAGGAAGAATTTGACGAGAACAAGGTGTTGGAGAGAGAGAGAGACCGAGAGGGGCTGAGATTGGATTAAGGCCTCCCTTGTTGTTGTTTCTTTTGCCGACTCCCGGAGTTTAGAAGAGAGCTCGGCGATAAGACCGTATCTCCACGACGATCGTCGCTAGTGTTGATAGAAGAATACTGTTGAGGGAGCTGATGAGGCAGTAATAATGAGAAGAAAGGGTTGGGGGGAGGGTAGTAGCTGGCGTTTATTATCGAGGGGTTGGGAATAAGGTTTGGTTGGATATGGTATTGGCTGTCGTCGAAGTGATGATGTCAGAATAGATGTGGCTTATCGCAGGGAAAACAGTGTGAAATTCAGGGCGGGATCGAATATATATAGTACACCATGCTCCATCCTGATAAATAAACCCTAGAGCGCGATGAAGAAAGTAGACCTTCATCGAGGCACAACCCATCCAACCCGTATAACCGAGAAACCCACCGCCCAATAATTCAGACGCCATGCTTGAAACAGAATAGATGAACCTGAACCATCTTCAAGGTTATATAGATAACACGCCAAACTTTTCCATGAATAAACTCCAAAAGCCAGAACCGTATGCACGAGGTATCATGAAGACATAAATGACAAGGAACGGGTAAGAGAAGAACAGACAATCCCACCCCCTAAGCAGTCTCGGCAGAGACAGAGCTAGTCACAGCCTTGTCGGCTTCGGTGTCAGCCTCCGTGTTAGGACGCGACTCGTCGATGTGGATCTCTCCCAGCTTGTGGTCAAGCGGTTCAGTGGGTGTCTCGGGCCTGTGTTCTTGTGCTTGGTCTTGCTCTTGCGCTTCCTCTTCCTCTTGCTCTTGCTCTCGCTCTTGCGCTTCCTCTTGGTCTTGCGCTTTCTCTTGCTCTTGCGCTTCCTCTTGCTCTTGCTCTTGCTCTGCTGTAGCCTCCGGCTGGTCAAGAGAGACAGTCTCAACTGACTCTTTCCGTTCAGCGGGGAGATCCTCCTTCACGATAGTAGCGTCTTCAACATCCGACTCGTGGCCACCATCCGACTCGTAATCACCGTCAATAGAGTGGAATTCCTCCGTGTCAAGCGGTGTCTCAGGAATTGACTCCACATCGTCTTCATCAAAATCTTCATCGGTAACGGCAGGAACAACTGCGCTGACCTGCAGTGTTTTAACGTTGGAAGGAAGGTCATTAATAGGCTCAACAGATTTGATAGGCTCAGCAGACTCAGAGCGCTCGTTGGATTCAGTGGGCTCTGTGCTGTGACTGGAGTGCGAGAGGGCGGTTGGAGAAGTGGAATCCTGGCTGGATTCAGAACCCCAGATGTGCTGCGGGTGATGCTGCGGGTGGCGGGGAGGAAGCGCAGGCGGCGTGGGACGCTTTGCCTTCGCGATGGTGACCAGGCGAGCACGGGTGAAAGTGGGTGACTTGGACTTGGAGTCGCTGGATTCCTCTTCCACCAGGGTCGGGGTAGTCATGACAGCCTCGTGCTGAGTGACGGTAGCGTTGCTCACTTCGTGCACTTCCAGGTCATCCTCAGAGTCGATTTCATGCATATAATCCACTTGTTCGTCATCCTGCTCTTTCTCTTCCTCAGCATCCCAACGAACGGGTTCCTCATCCCACGGGCTCTGTTGCGCCGCAAGGTCGGTCGACTCCTCCTTCGCGCTGCGGGAGGATGTTCGGCTTACTGACGTCGGCGCAGTTAGCGGAGCGTCATCAGTTTGTGTGCCACGGTCTGCACTCGTGTAGCTCTGGACACTCGCGCGCCAGCTGCTGGTGCGCCAGCTATTCCGCGGCGAGCTGTCCGCGCTGCGCCGCGAGAGCGTAGTGAACACGGGGCTGTTGTGGTGTGGCCGAAATTCAAAAACATCAAGGCTTGGCCTCACCTTGGTGCCGGCCTCCCGAATGAACAGGCCCTCGGCCTCCAACGCTTTCACTCCGTACGGGTCTGGATCGTCTTCGGCCGGCACGCCAAAAGGTTGACTGTCATCTTCTGGAAGCTCGATGTCGCCGGGTGTTTCGCCCGCCGGCGCGACAAGACTCACGTCGACGTCGGAATCGCCTTGTGCTGCCTTGATGGTTTGGAGAAGTGTGTTGATGGAGTCGGGCGGGAATCTGACTTTGCCGGCCAGGATATCGGTGACTGAGATGCGTTCACCATAAAACCGCTCGTTCTCGTCGGTGCGTTCGATGATAATGGTTCCGTCGACGGCCACTCCGGCATAGAGGCCTTTGCTCTTCATATAAGTCCAAATCGGCGACTGGCGTTTGTGTACCTCGGAATCCAGCACGCCGCCCATACCAACCGGCCCAGCAGCGGCACTGACCTCGCCACCCAGCGTACAGCGCACCTTCTTGAAGGCCTCGAGCGCCTCGATTGTATTGATGATCACCACGCAATCATATATATCGACACCAGCCAAGAATCCAATGCCAGCGGTATGCAACATAATCCCCGATGGCGGACTCCATTCACCGGTTTCGGGTATCCGCGCAAGAAGCACACCACTCCCACCCGATCCGCTCATCCAGAGCCCGGTGCGCATCGTCGTGAACACAGCTATACCCTTGGCCTGCTTCAGGACATTGGAGGGGATCTTTTTGATAACACGCTGCTTGCCCTTGGGCCGATTAATCTTGCCCTGGTCATCGGTCGTCACCTCCGACTCGGGGGCATAGAAGCCATCCTTACAGAAGCTGCGCAGGATGCGCGCGGCCTTGTCGCTCTCTTTGTCGAGGGACATGGGCCAGAAGGCCTCGGCGCCTAGGCGGTTGGAGAGCCGGTTGACGGGGCCGCCGAGTTTGTCGACGGTTTTCCATGCTTTGTCGAAGCCGCGCTTCGAGTAGCCCTTGGTCTTGTCCCAGTTGAAGGGCGGCATCTTGGGTGGGTTGGGATGATGGGTTGAATGAGAGACAAGTGGACGTAGTGCCGATCTAGAAACAGGACACGGTCGAAGCCCTCCTGCGAACAGCAGGCGTGGGAGAGGGGGCCTCTCCCCAAGATTCCTCGTTCAGTGGCTTGGAATGGCGCGCGCGAGCGAGTCGGGTTGCAGGAATCTAGGATCGGCGGGTGGCTGGAATGTGGCGAGGAATGTGTGAGGGAGGGAGATGGTGGTTGTATATTACTACTCCGATGATTATCATGAAACCCACGACGGACTGGTGGCTGGGAATAATGATGGCGAAAAAGATGATATGGTGAGATATAGTCCGGGTGCGGAAGGAAGGTGGAAAGGAAGGAAGTGAAGAAGGGATCGATCACATCACCTTGACAAATCAAGGGTACCTGTATATTCTACTGCCGGAAATTCCAGGAGGCGGGCGGGCTTGTTAATACTGATCGGGTCAGACGGCAGACAGAAGAAGGTCAAGCAGGGCCGAGTGGCGCCGTGGATCCGTTAAACGGCGTGGACGTCATCGACTTGCGCGTGCAAGGGACTAGGCAGACATACTTGGATAGGCACTGACTGTCTGTATAACCATCCGAATGCCATTGTTCACAGTATACTTATTGTCTGGGATTGTTCTTGATTCGGTCACAGTTGCTTCGGACTAACTGGGTTATAGATGTCTCCAATAGATCACCCCCACCGCCCCTCCATTAAATGAGCCAAATGCGGGAAGGATCTAGACCCGGGCTATTCCCAACTACGGTAAATAACTGCACAAAGTCCATAGGAATATGACTAGGATCCCAGCAGATTCGAGTTCAGACGGTCGGACCACCTCGGTCGGCCTCGAGGGGTCCCTAGGTTCATTCAGGTGGCACCGGCGGGATGGCAATCATCGTGCCCTGTACAATAAGGTGATCATGTGATCAGACGAGGCTAGACCATTCTGGGTTGGATAGTCTATCACACTACTACAGAAGAAAAAGATGGTATATACACGGTCCTACAGCGCACCCAATTCCTTCAGCTTGGACACCAGACCATCGACATCCTCGACCTTGCCGCCGCCCGTGCGTGGAGGGGGTTCTAGGAGCGACCTGTCAGCGAGGGAGCACATGGAGAGCATCGAAAGAGAAACAAAAACATACCGGTAACCTTCAGCGTCTTCAGCCGCCGAGTATCCTCAACCCCAAAGTCGGCAAGAGTCTTCTTCTCAAGCGGCTTCTTCTTCGCCTTCATAATATTCGGCAGACTAGCATACCGTGGCTCATTCAGACGCAGATCCGTCGTGATAACCATCGGCAGCTTCGTCCGCAGCGTCTCAACACCCCCATCAACCTCATGCGTAATCTCCACCGTCCCAGCCTCATCCTTAATCTCAACCTTACTCGCCTGAGTAGTCTGCGGCCAGCCCAGCAGCCCGGCAAGCATCTGGCCCGTCTGGCCCTGATCGCCGTCGATAGCCTGCTTTCCCAGCAGAACCAGGTTAATATCCTCTTTCTCGACGACGCTGCGCAGCAGCTTGGCGATCGTTAGCGGCTCGGGCCCGCCGTCGCCCGATCCCTCGGGGACGTCGATGTGGAACGCCTTGTCAGCGCCCATGGCCATCGCGGTGCGCAGCGTGTCGGCGCATTTGGGGCCGCCGGCGGATAGGGCCAGGATCGAGTCGACTTTCAGGGGGCCCTTGCGCTCGCGCAGCCGGACGGCTTCTTCGATGGAGAGCTCGTCAAACGGGTTCAGGGAGTGTTTGACCCCGGCGGTTTCGACGCCCGTTTGGGCTTTGTTGATTCGGGGCTTGATCTGTAGAGCCGGCGGTGTTAGCAGTCGGGTGTGATGGATTTCACAGTTTCAATGCCGTGGGCGTGGTCCTGTGACAGCATCGGTGGGCTTCGTGCACAACCGACCGTCCGACCGGCCGGAGAGAAAATACGAACCGCGTAGTCGATGACCCGCTTGACGGGCACCAATATCCGTAAACCTTTACTGGCCATGATGAATGAAGGGAACGAGCAACCTGGGGAACAATTGCTCTCGAGACGAGGGAGAAGTGGGAGAGAAGAGGGAAACGAGTCAAATCGCCGACGCCGCCCGAGTGTAGCCTCACCGCCCTGGGGTGCTGCCGAGGTTATGCTTGTATACTACAAAGTACGGGGGTACTCAATTATGCGATGATCATGCTGATGATTGCTATGGGATGGAGTTAACTACCACGTCTCCTGCTTGTACCGCCCACTCTTCTCCATCCCGATCAGGTACTCCTCCGCCTGGGCCCGATTGAATGGATGTCCCGACGTGCCTCCATGTTGGAACGTCTCGATGAGCGCCTCGCGAACGGCCTGGGGCATATGGCCCGAGGAGCCGCAGATATATGCCGACCCTTCCATGTCATGCAGAAGTCGGAAGAACAGCCCGAAGTGTTGCCGGATGGTATCCTGCACGTAGACCTTCTGCTTCTGGTCGCGGGAAAAGGCAGTCAACACCTGCAACTGCACCCGTTCACGGAGCTCTTCCCAGTCTTCCTGGAAGAAGAAATCGGCCGTGCGGTTACGCCCACCATATAACAGGATGGTAGGTCCGATTGGGGGTTCGACCCCGGGGTTCTGCTCGCGGTAGGCTTTCACAAGCGCCGCTTTCTCCCATAGCATTGACCGCAGCGGCGCCACGCCGGTGCCAGGACCGATGAGCACGGTTGCGCCGGTGAGCTGCTGAACGGAGGAGTTGAGGCCGCCGCGTTGGAGCTGCACCCGTAGTGTGCTGCCGGGCTGCAGCACGGACAGGTACTTGGTGCAGACGCCTTCTCGGATCCGCTTGATCACGGTCTGGTACTTGACAATGGCGACGAGCAGCTCGAACTGTGTGTGGCCGCCTGGTGTACGTTTCCTCTCTCCGCCGCTGGCGATGCTAAACTGGCGCGCTCGCATAACGGGCAGTACCGATACCGCATGCTGCCAGGGGATCTTGACAGAGTCGAACTCGTGTAGTACCTCCAAGATACTGCGCCGAGGCCGCGTCGTGTAGTCCCAGAGTTCGTCAAGATACTCCGGGTTGGTAAATTCTAATAGCCGCTCTCTATGCATGGAATCGTTTGTGTAGTGTGCAATTGTGGAAAAGAAGGATCGCCGAGGTATGGCTTTGAGGTCGAGATAGTCAGTGAGGAGCATGCGTAAGGTGAGGTTGGGGTAGGAGTCGAGATCGGGGATTGGTGGAGGTGCTGGAATATTGCCCGTAGGAACCAGTGAGATTAGTTGGTCTGCTTGCTCATTCCAGCCCATCAAGTCAATCAGGGTTTGGACGTCGGCCGGGACACTCTTGGGAGTAATGGCGATCATATCACCTGGGACATAGGAGACAGATTCAGGCACAGTCAAGCAGATGTGCCGCACATCCTGCCAGTGCTTGGGTGGCGTCACCCGTCGATTCTCGACTAATGTGGCGGAGAGAGTGTGTGGAAGGGGTCTGGTATCGTGCTCCAGGTGGAGCAGCGCAGCGGATTTCTCTGCAACGGGGTGTTTCTCTGCGGCGCTACAGGGTTCTCCTTCATTTGGACGTAAGATCCATTTCGGTGGCAGTTGAACATCATCTGGGATTGGATGTTGCCCCGAGGGAAGCGGATGCCTGTCCAGCAAATGCTTCCGAAAATCCGTCATCCATGGTATGACTGTGCCTTCGAGTCTGTTGAATAGAAAAGAATTTAGCTATGCCAACGGATGGAGAAGAAAAGTACTCACCCTTCTGGATGCTGCTGGTCTGCTTCGCCAGACGGGTAAATTTCATTGGCGCCTAGCTGCAACAATCGCTTATAGAGCTTGCGTGCTGCCCAATTGAACCTGTGTTTCCCGTCAATATAACACCTCAAAAGTTCTGCAGGAACATACTTTGGATAGGAACTATCGCCCAGCCCAAAGGACGCAAAATTGACCCCCTTCAGATATGTGGCCGGTAGCCGCTTCAAGAGTAGCGACTTCCAGAACGTCCGTGCATTCGCAGGGAGATCGCCCTGGCCAGTGGTTGAGACGACGAATATAGTGAGGGTGTAGGAAAACAGCGTTTCCTATATCCAAGATTCAATTAGTCACAACAACGTCGTAGTAAAGAGGAGGACCGCATACCGGGCTGGACTGATTCAACTCGCACACATGCGTCGCGAACCGGAGGCGTTCGGTCAGGGCCCCCAATTCCTCAGCCACCTCTTGCGCATTGCCGGTCTCAGAGCCATAGAGGATGAGTGCTGAACGCTGAGGACTGCCCATGCTGCGTCTTCACTGGTGCGCAAGGGAGAGAAAACAGCAACGACCGATAAATTCACGCCGATTTCGCCGAGCGGCTGACGTCATCCAGGACCGATATCGCCTACATGTATAACTTCTAGGATGTCGATAGGGCGGCAAGATAGGTAATAGTAAGAATAAAATAGCTCAGATAGAATCGCTCGGCTGAGTAGGTCAACCAAGATGCAAGCAAGGGTATCTCAATATCAATAAGTCTCTTCATCACCTCCACCTCCCCCGTCCCCAAACCCATCATCAAACTCATCATCGCCAGCATCAAAGTACTGTTCAGCATTATAATCGCCTCCCATTTCATCATCGTCGTCCTCAAAGTCATCATCCACAATCTCATCCTCTGGTTCCTCGTCTCCATCCAAAACATCCCTCTCATCCGCCTCCGCATCCACCTCGTCTTCATCTCCACCGCCACCAACTGCTCGCCGCTTCGCCGCAGCATCATCCACAGCATCGTCCTCATCATCTTCAAATCCGCGCTTGAGACCGGCTCGCTTCTGGGGCACGTAGCCGTCCATCGTTGCGCCGGGCTGGTAGCTGGGTTGGAGGGTTTGCCAGAGCTCACGGGGGAAGAGTTTCATGACTGTCATCCGTCCACCCATTAGTCTCTGCTATGTATAATCACAGACATCATGGGAAAATGCCATGCTGTGTATGCTCACCATAAGGCCGTTCATTCATCTTGGGCAGCGTCCGCGGTTTCTTCAGATACCGACTCGAGAAGGTAGGCATGCCGTGGAAGGCATCGAAGTTTGCGCGTGCGGCGCTTCCTTTCTTGGCTGTTAATGAAGCCGCGTCGACGACAGAGTAGTACGGTCCTTCATGGGCCCGTCCGCGGGCAGCCCGGTAGAGGTCCACCTGTTTTTGTTCGAGGGGGGTCAATGCCCGGTTGAAGGGGACGATGTATTTCTACACAACCGAATTAGATTTCGGAACCTGGCATAAGAAGGGCTGCAGTCGAGCCATACCGGATAGAGAGGCGTGGGAGCGTTGACTGGTTCGCGGCCTGGATCCGCGTCGAAGGTGAACTCGGCGCCGGGCATGCGCGGGCCCTTTTTGGCGCCGAAGCGGGACATGGTGGGTGATTGAGGAGGGTGGTCGGAGGAGATAAAGCCAGATAGAAAGAGTCTCACTTCACCATTATTATTGTTCGGGAGTAAGTCGTCGAGCAGCTCGGGTTGGTTGAGGGAGAAAAAAGATGGCGGAGTGATTCACCGCCATGGCCTAGAACGGGAACGTAGGGCTTAGGGTTCCTCCGATAAGATCTACTACAATAGGAAATAATAAATGAACTAGAGCAAGTTTGCCATAACTGAGGAGGATTAATACAGTCTCGTAGATCATCGTCCGACAGCCGCTACCTGGTTGGCACCGCCAGTGACCGGGCCCCACGGTCCTTCGTTCACCCGCTGCTGCAGAGTCCGCATAATGTCTTCAAACCCTTCCATCTGCCCGCCCTGTTCACAAAGCCGGTTATACAGTGCCACTAGGACCTCGTACTTAGCAGTCGCTACCTTCCAGACTGCATTCTGAGAGTCACCCGCACCACCACCCACAAACTCCGCGTATGATCTCGGTGGTTTGAACAGGTAAGGTAGCAGAGTGGTCAGTGCCGGCGGAGTGAGTGTAGCCCATGCTCCGGAGATAGGTAGCAGTCCACTGCTGGCGGGGGATACCTGACCGAGGCTTTCTTCTGCTGGCAATTGGTACCGGGACGAGGAGGCATTAGACACGTGAGATGCAGGAGGTAATGGCTGCCAGTTGGAGATAACGACGGCCTTCATGAAATTGATTGCCGCCAGAGCGATGTCCTTCATCGCCATGATGTCTGCGGCTGCCACAACGTCAGACCAGAAGGTAGGCCGGTTATTCAAGTAGAGAAAGTAAAGCACGCGCGCTGCAGCTGCTTCGTGATGCCAGTCTGTTGGGGTTTGACCGGACGTGTTGAGGTCCATTGAATCAGACATCTCCGTCCGGGGAGGACCATGGAAGATCTTGCCCAATGCATGCAAGGCTTCTTCATTTGGAGGCGTGGTGGGGATTTTCAGTATAGGGTTTGCACCATGCTTGCCCGCCTCCACAAGCAGCACTCGCGGCAGCGAGGCCAAGACAGCGAGATGTCCGGCGGGGGCTTCGCCGTGTGCCCATTGCGCAGAGGGGATCGCGAGAGATCGATTAACGCGCGAGATGATTCCATCAAGAAGTGGAGGAGGATTCTGTAAGAGGTGATTAGGATATGACTCGGCATATCGTGCCACGTAAACCATGACCGGTCCAGCGAGAAAGCGGGCATCCACCACGTCCAGCTTCGATTCATCAAGGTAGTATTCCAACACCTTCCGGTGGAGATTCTGGGAGCACAGAAAGTCGAGCGCGGGAGATGAAAAGGTCGACGCAGACTGTACGTAGCTCCGGGCAACGAGGCCTGGGGCATCAATCTCCAACAAGTCACGGAAGAAGTTCAGCAGAGTCATATGCATTAGCACGTCGCTCTGATCGACCATCTGGCAGGCGGCGAAGTGGAGCAGGCTGCTGCTGTCGTACTTTGCTTCGATGTCTGGCACCTGGGACTGCGAAATAATGTCCCACCGTACGCCTCCAGCTTTTGTGAGGAAGTCCATAAGTCTGGCTTGGGCCAAGGTCCGTTTGCGCTTGCTCAAATCCCCTGGTGCATCGTCCCTGAGGCTGCACAGGCCAAAGAGAAGTCCATAGACGTCTTTATCCGTGAATACCCGCCGCCACATCAGCCCCTGTCCCGCATGGGCATTATGGGCGGTGTGGTCATATTCCTCCTTCTCGAGAGGGCTAGCCAGGTCGACCTCGAGAAGAGCCCATAACGTGTCGAGTGCCGCCTGCGCGACAGCTTCCGAGGAAGTCGACAGCCATAGCTCCACAAGCGACACTACCAAATCCGAGTCTCCTGAGACTATGGCCGCATCACTGGATGCTTGTCCTGCCTTGCCTAGCAGGGATAGAGCGAGCAGGTTGATCGGCGGGGAGGGTGTCTTGAAGCCCGCGACGAAGTCGATGGGAGGATCAATGGCGCGGAGATCGGTGAAGGTGAAGGAAGCTGTGGCCTTTGTCCCTAATGTCGTCAGAGGAGCTGGGTCTTCTTGAAGGACGGGGAGCAGAGCTGAGATTTGCGATAGAAGGGTGGCGGCGACAATAGGCGGAGTGGTTTCGACTAGCTGCAGCTTCAGTTTATCGATGAGGGCGATGTCCAAGGGGGTGGATGGGTCCTCCTGGACCTGGGCAAGGTGAGCCTTGACCTCTTCGAAACACGAAGGAACAGCCATGGCGACTGACACGAGATCGTCACAGCTTGTGTTGAAATCGAAAGCTGGTTGATTTGGCGGGGAAGCTGATTTAGTTGGTGCCTGAGGCAGAAGTCAAACAGAGCAAACAAAGAGCATGCCGCCCTGACCTACTCCAACTCTCAAGATAGACAGATAGACAAGCTCAACTCAACCATGGAGAATTCACTGCTCTCTCAAAAGTCGTCTGACTCGGGTCTTCATATCTCACTTCACCCCCTCGTACTTCTCACCGTCTCCGATCACATCACTCGTCACGCCGCTCGCCAGCAACAAGGCCCGGTCGTGGGTGCTCTGCTCGGCCAGCAAAATGGGCGCGAGATAACATTGGAGCATGCATTTGAGTGCCCGACGACAAACGGTCCCAACGGCGAAGTTCTTCTGCCAGAGGCGTGGTTCGAAGAGCGAGTGAAGCAGTGTCAGTAGTGTCGACAGACCCCACCCCCCACTCCGCTCATATCCGTACTGACAACACCATCTACAGTCAAGGATGTGCATAAAGTCCCGCCTCTCGATATAGTGGGCTGGTGGTCAACCGCTCCAGCGACCGGACCCGACGCTTCACACCTTCCGCTCCACCGACAGCTTCTCCAGGACTACAACGAGTCCGCCGTGTTCCTAGCCTTCCACCCATCCCAGCTGCAATCAGAAACACACACTGCCAAGCTGCCATTATCCGTCTACGAGAGCGTGTATGAGGGCGAGAATGCCACCGACACAGCGAAGGAGATGCAGGTAGATGGGGAGGAGCCCCAGCTGAACATCCGGTTCCGCGAGTTGCCACATGCTGTCGAGACGGCGGAGGCTGAAATGATCGGGATTGACACCATTGCCAAATCGTCTGGCACTGCTGCGAATGATATTCCGGCCCAGGAGGCTTCCGGGTTGAAACAGCAGAAACCGGATACAGGTCCGAAGCAGGGAGCCGAGAAGAAGAGCGTGCAGCCTGAGCTCTCGCAGGAAGAGGAAGAGTGTATGTTACACTTCCCAATGAGGATCCTACTCTCTATCACCTCAGCTAACTGACACTTTGTCTCCCACCGCAGTAATATCAAGCCTCAACACCCGACTCAACGCAATCCGCACTCTCGAATCCCGCATCTCGCTCATAAAGTCCTATGTCTCCAGCATCTCTTCAGCTGAGTCTCCCAGCACAGACACCCCCAACGATAAAGAAGGGACGCAATCCACACAGCTCTCCCACCCAATCCTCCGCAACATCAACTCCCTCCTCTCCCATCTCTCCATCCTCTCTCCACAGGAACAGGGGCCCCTCTCCATCGACGTCCTCTCACAGAGCAACGACGTCCTCCTGGTCTCGCTTCTGGGCCAGCTCGGCGAGAATGTCAAGGCCATGCGCGAACTGGGCCGCAAGTCGGCTGTTGTGCAGAGTGCGCGCCAGACTAGTTCTGCGCGCAAGAATCCTGGTCTCATGCAGAGTCGCTTTGAGGAGGAGCTCTATGCGCAGGGCATGGGTGGGCCTGGCGCTGCTGCTGCTGGGATGTATTCCTAGCTTTTTTGATAGGGTGGTATAGGCTGCGCTGGGCTTGCTTGTTATGACATCCATCTAGACGAGATCACGAATTCAACTATCTTTCTTCTTATGTCTGTATTGTTCTCTTAGTGCGAGCATGAAGTATCAAAAAGTCTTTCATTCAGTTGAGTATAAAATGAAACCCATGTCATCCATCCCAAGCCCAACCAGTATTCTATAAACAGTACACACTCTGACCAAAAGAAAAACCGCATAACAGACATCAAATGCACCTCGATGCAAAAACACGAGACGACCTCATGAAATAATAATATCAAGAAAGAAAAGGTGGGTATTTATGTCAATGAAGCGCAGCCCAAACGAAGGGGAACACATAAAGAAGATCTTGGAGCCTCTTCGCATTATGCGAGGAAACTATAAGAAATAATAGAATCAAAAATGGTGGCAGAGGGGTATTGATCCGTTGCTGTGAAATCATGACTGGCGGTTCTCGTTCTCCGGATATGGAGCTGGCGGCCGGTAGGGATCTGGAATAGGCATGGGGGCTTGTTCGCGTAGGGGCCCGTCATCTGGATAAGGGTTCGTCGCTGTGCCCGGATACTCCGGATTGTGGGGTTCGGATTCGTCGTAAGGCGAGGCGCCCTGACCGTAGTAGCGGCCAGAGAGGTCGTGGAGCCCGGCGTCAAGTTCGTAGGGGTACGAGGAAGCACCCAAGTGGTCGCCTTCGGGGTTGGGCTGCGCGTGAGAAAGAAGGATCTCGCCCTCCTCGTCTGGCGCGGATCCGTAGCGGCCAGTGCGGCCGCCAGGCATGTCAGTGCCGGCGCCCTCGTAGGCAGTGCTGAGCTCTGTTGGTTCATCGATGGTCTCGTGGGGCCGGCGGTAACTGGGGTCCAGCTTGCGGTTCTTGCGGCCGACGAAGAGCCAACGGAAGCCGCGGCCGATAGCTGCGATGAGGTCGAATGGGTTCATTGCATCTATTAGCGCTTTGACGCCGAACTTGCCACCCTCGTAGGACACTTTGCCGTTGCCGTAGTAATCGCTCACCTCACCCGCTGGGTTGGTGGCGTATTGCCGAAAGGAGAAAGCCCAGAGGTGCAGGACGCCGAAAAACGCCATCTCGATGTTGATCAGTAGCTCGGGTAATGCATATTTGAGGTCTGGGAGCTGAATCCTTTTAGTCCCCTTGATAGCGCCTGCCGAGACGAGCAAGTCGATAAAGATCTACAAAGTGTCAGTTCGTAGCTCTCGCCTATATGGGCAATGTATCCCCGGATGCACTCACCAATTGCCAGAAGGAAAGGAAAATAACCAGCTTGATGGAGAGGATCTTGAGGAAGGGCCGGTGCTCCTTGATATCCTTGCTCACTTGGTGGTAGAATTGGATCAGGCAGTACATCGCAATTGAGACAGAGATCGCCTCAAAGGTCACGACCTATAATCATGTCAATCCGTGGATGCAAATGTTGGACTCCAGAGCGGACATACCCAAACGTGCGCAAAGGCCGGGCTGAGAGAGTCCTGGCAGTAACGGTCACCCGCCTCGCTGGCCACCGCAACAATGGTCATCAAGACGCGCATAAAACAATATTGGAAAACGCCGACCCAGATAATCTATACGTGTCAGCCTAACTCCGAACCGCCGCCGTTTCACGTAGGTAGGCAGGCATACATTGAACCAAGTCAGCCCGTTCCGAGCATTCCGCCAGATCCCGCGTTGTCCGCCACAACAGGCGCTGAACCAACTCACTGGGAGAAGCCACGGCTTTGGCTGCACTCCACGGAAATAATCCTTCTGGCTGTGTAGGTCGGGGGCGATGTAGTGGCACATGAGGGCGAAGAAGGCGGAGATACAAAAGGCTTCGTAGCAGTCGCCGATGACCTCGAAATAGACGGCGTAGTGGTAGAAATAGATGCTGAGCCATGCGACGAGGGAGTAGATGGGGACCATGAACAAGATGCGGATGATGCTGCGACACGAAAGGGACCAAGGTTAGTCGATGCGATGCATCCAACGCGCGTTCAACGGGCAGACAGGTACTTACTGTCGTTGTTCTTCCGGCTTGCTGTAGTGGGTTGCATGGCCCATGATCAGGAAGAACGACACGGCGCAGGCGACGACGGCGAACACAGCGCCGACGAGCTCGCTGAGACGGTGGAAGGTGATGCCGCCATCCCACAGAGGGGCTTCGTTGACTGTTGACACGTTAGCCTGGCTCGCCCTTTCTCGGACTAGATGAGCGAACGACGTACTGGTCGCATTCTCCAAGGTGGCATTACACACCGTCCAGCTCCCCATTCTGGCTGGAGTGTGGTCGCTGTCTCTTGAGACAGGGGGTTGGCGGAGGGAGGATTTTCTGTTTATCTCTTATCGACAGGGGAGGATAAAGAACGCCACCGTCACGAATGACTTCTTTGTTGGAGGGCGCGAGGAGGGATTCACTCGAAGTAGTTAGGCGCCCCGGGCATAATAATAACAGTTCACATGAATTCTTTTTTTGGGCCTTGGTCTGTTTTGGGGGCTTGGTAGGGCTTGGCTTGGCTCAGCCTCGTTCCGGGCAGATCCACCTACTGGACTGTACGATGGGTAGAATAGATTTGGTCAAGGCATCACAAGAGACAAGGCAGTCCGGGTTATACACCGTGAACAAAAAAAAAACACCACTATAAACCTCAAAGTCGTTGAAGATGGGAGGTGAAGCCCGAATCGGGTCCCGATTTTATTGTCTAGGCAGAATTTTCTGGAACTAGCACACAGTTTTGATCGTTGCATAGCATTAGTAAAACAGACGGTATAGTTACACTAATCAGTTATCGTACACGGCACAAGACACTTTTGACAGAAAATGCATCAAACCCCTGCCATCAGTCTCGTCGCATGCCACCCATCCGTCCACCACGGGCCTGGCGGCGACGGATAGCCTGGGCGCTGTATTCCGGCCCACCGTCCACAAAGTAATCCTCGTCTTCAAAGGTGAAGCGGCGCATCTCATCGCCGCCACGGCGCGGGAATGGGCCCTTCCGCAATAGCTCATCAAATTGGTCCAGTCGCTTGTCCGCCACTCGCCGCGGCACAGGGAGATAGTAGAGCTTGGGCTTAGCGGTCGTCGACTCAAACAGCTCGTCCAGAGGCTTGAAGCCCTGTCCGGGTCGTGATGAGGGAGCTGCAGGCGCGGGGACGTTAGAGGGGCGTCGGTCTATCTGAGAGACGCTGCCGCGAGGCCCCAGCGGGGGAGTGCGATTGAACCCTGGTTCGCGGGGTCGGGAGGGAGCCGAACGAGAGCCATTTGGTCCCGCTTCGGACAGTGTAGCTATGGTGCCGTCTTCGGTAGATTCATATTGCACTTCCCAGCGTACCGGAGGTCCGGGCCGGTTACGAGACGCTTCCTCCGTCCGGATCCAGTCTTGGATTTGCTGGTCGGGAATGAAGTCCACCCATAGGCTCTTGCGGTTACGCTCGTTGGGCCACACGCTCCCATGCAGGGAAGAACGGACCCGTGAAGCTGCCGCGATGTTGGCAAAACTGACAAAGCAGTGTGTTTTGATCGGGTCCAGGTAGAATTCCCGGATTATGCCCGGATTGGGAGAGCCACCAGGGGCGGAGGCAAGGCTGATCAGATGGTTTCGCAGCGCAGCAGGTTGGAGCGGGCGCATAATACCATCGATATAAAGGGCACCCGTGGCAGCGTGCAAGGCAGGCTCAGCGTCCCCATCTGCTGGTGCCATCTCCTTGGGCGGAGAAGCAGGCCGAAGAGGCGCAGGTTCTGCAGGTTTGAATAGCCCCCGGAAGCGAGCGTCTTGTTTCGCCGGACGCGATTCTTTCTGCTCGCCCGCCGTGTGATCTGTGGTTCTCTCATCTCGAGAAATTGAGGCTTCGTCTTCCTCCGACACGACCGGTGGGCCCTCCTCTTTCGCCCGAGCCTTTTTAGTTGCAAGTTCCTCAGCTGTAGGCGCAGGACTCTGGCTGCGTCGCTTTCGTTTCCGCCTGTCTTCCAGCGCTTCTTCTGTGGGAACAGGTGTTGACAGCTCGGTATTTGCTTCCGAGGTTTGGGCAGCAGGCGGGACGGATAGCTTGTCAGATACTGCAGCAGGTATGGTCTCGGGTTCTTCAGCTGGAGGCGCCTGTGCTGCATCGCTATGGGCTTGCTCAACGGGTTCTGCTGCCTGGGCCATGTCAGTGACTTGGGTTTGAGGAGCCTCGCCCGCGGGCCCATTGGTGGAAACAGGTGGCTGTTCTGGTTGTTGCGGCTGGGCATCGACCACCATCTCTAGCTGCTGCTGAGTTGGCTGTTCCTCATGCTTCTGCGCCTCCTGTGTCTTGTCACCAGCAGGCGCCACATCTTGTTCTGCTTCTTTTGTTTCTGGTTGTCCCGGTTCTTGCGCAGGGGTAGGTTCTGGGGCGGGATGTTGCTGTTGTTCTTCAGCTGGTTCGGGCTCAGTGCCTGCTGCTTCTGCTTCAGGCTGTGCCTTGGCATCTTCTTCCACGAGCTTGTCAATGAAATGCTGCTTGAGACGCAGACCGGTCTGTGGGATGCCACGTTTCTTGAGCTCCGCCTTCAGCTCGGCCACCTTCAAGGAGGAGTACTCAGCCATCGTGTGCGCATTCACTGAAGTGTTGCATGGAAACAAGGGCCATGAAGAAACACGAACGCGACTGGAATGGAAGGATGACCGCATTGCTTAGTCACGCCTGTTTTGGGTTTAGCGCAATTTGGTTCACTTGTCAGTGAACTATACGACCAGCTAACAGTATTTTAAATCGACCTAATGGACAGTTGCTGCATAATGGGGGGCCCCGTCTGACTGGCTGCGAAGCTGACGAAGCTAGTTTTGTTGAGGGAGCATTTGGAGCTTCAATAGACTAATCTGGACTATTAAATGCCTGTCCACCCTCGTGAAGTCGCCAATCCCTCTAAAGAATTGAGTTGAACGTCAAGCTTTGAACTGGCCTGCCCTGGATTATATGGGACTAAAAATACTGCCACAAAAGCCTTTTAAATTGTCGGTGGTTTGAAAGGTTCTACGTGTAGTTTCGCGAATAGATGGAAACTCCTATTTTTGTAGAGTTTGATTGCGAGCTGGGCTCTACGCTCTTGATTCTGGGATGGGGATTTTGACAGCGAACTGGGGGCATGGGGAGTAGTTAAAATGGGGCAAGGGGCATATCATTAGCTGACCGGCTCGCTTGTGAAATATGTTATCCGCGGATAGGGTAAACGCTTGATAAACTAACATTCTGGTTAGTCTTAGGCGAAGAGGCTAGGGTTAAAAATCTACTATTAGCATTCTTCGCAAGATGGAACTCATTCGATTGGTCGGAAATTAATTACGTCTCTTAAGGTAGTTAAGAATCTGCGCATTCCTGATATGTAAATAACCTTTGCAGGTATCAAACCAGGAAAATAGTTCAAAACCAATTTCTGCTACACAGACAACTATGTGCCTAGTAAGCGAAGACGGTGTTTGTGGCTCTTAGCCCGCTTCTTACTGTGTTGCTCTAGATTTTATAAATAAGGCTACATGCCCTTTGTTGGAGACATATACTACCGTTTACAATCCTCCTTTGTGCCTCACTTCGAACGATGCAGACTATCAATATTATCCTCCTTTTCGCAACATCTCTAGCGGTTGCCTCGCCACTAGCAACTCGGCAAGCGGACTCATCATGCAATTCCGGGACGATCCAATGTTGTGCGAGCGTTGAAGATCCTAACTCCGCGACAGGAAAACGAACTCTTGAGGCTCTTGGTGTTGCCAGCACGGGAGTTGGCGATCAAATTGGTTTGAGCTGTAAGCCAATAACTCTCCCCCGAATTCGTTATCTTTCCCTATTACGAGTGAAAACCGTTGTCTGGCCTTGGCAAAACTAAGGTTCCCCGATAAGTGTCGTGGGGATTGGAAGCGTCGCGTGTTCCGCGGAACTTGTGTGCTGCCAAAACGTTGTCGTAAGTTTTCTATTGCAAAATGTCCTTTCACCTTAGGCATCCTGCCCTCTTAGTATCATGCTTGAAGACTCCGGAAGAGCACTGACATATTTACTATAACCTAGCTCAGCGGCCTTGTCGCCCTTGATTGCAATCCTTTCAACGCAAACTTGAGGTAGCCAGGCGGAAAAATTGACCTTTCTTTGGTTTTAATATGTTTGATTTGTACACGTGGACGGATTCTCCTAGGACCTTTATGGTTCTTGAATTCTAGTCAACGGGCCCTGGGAGCCGCAGTGCCAATCCGAATGCCCTTTTCGTCTCCTAATGCCCTTCATCTTTTAGCTCTCTCAATACTCATAGAACTAAACATTTTTCCAAGTAACATCCGATGTGGTGTAGTGGTAACATCACCGTCTCTCACACGGTAGCCCGGGGTTCAATTCCCCGCATCGGAAACTGTTCAACATTTTTTTTTATCCTTCCAAGAACGGGTGTTGTGGGTGGAATAGAAAAAAACCATCAGAAGATCAATTGTTAACAAGATTATTTACAGTTAAATGGACTTTTGGAGGGGCAGGAGTCATCTAGCTCTTTGAACCTAATTCGTGGGTCATTCCATTCGACCACGATCTTTTCTCTGTCTCGGTGGCTACTGATGTGAGCATGTATTTTCTTTCAGTCATAGCCTCAAGTAGGTCGTTCATATGTCATAGGCCCCCGATTAGCTGTTCTGTGTTCTTTGTCCTCTCCCCTCCGTATCGAGATCTTTTCTATGCACATTTTTCTTAGAAGGTAGAAGTCTACCTACTACCTATGGTCGACCCTACTAGTACAATTGATGACTACCTGAAGAAACAATGAGGCAGGGCCCATGTCAATTCTCTAAAAGTATCTAGTCCACCGTTCCAGAGGGGAGCACTGAGATATAGTCCAATGGGGCTGGCTCAACGCCATTGGGTGTGCCGACAATTTTAAGAACATCGCCCTGATTGACCTGGACTCCTCGGAAGTTGATGCGTGTAGCAGAATGGCCATCTAAGTAGATAGAAGGAGTGTGACTGAGAGTATGCTCATTGTTTCCAATCCATTCTCCAACAGTGTGGTTGTTCAGATACACCTCCCACTGAGATACGCCTCCGAAGAGATCATAGTAGTTGATTGCGAGGTCATAAACCCCAGAAGAGAAATCAAGTGTTGTTGTCGCTGTGCCGGTGGTGCTATTGGAACTCGTGACAATGGCCATGGATCCCGAGGCTGTCTCAAAGGGGCTGACGACGTACGTCTCATACCCACTCAGATCCATGTCCTCAGCTTCGATGCGCCAGGGGTGGTTTCCCACGCGCTTCATCTCGTCAGGAACCCTAGATAGATTGTGGTAGAAGTTGACAATGGCATCGCGCCAGATGATGGAATGACCAGCCTGATAATCGAGGCGTCGTCGGATGTCTTCGTATCTTTCCGCATCGACCTTGCCCTTTAGAGATTCCCACTGGGTGAGGAATGTCTGAGCTGTATCAGCACCCTCGTAGTGTGCATCATAGAAATGCTGGACCACGGTCTTGCCCGAGTGTAGACGGTGGGTATAGTTCACATGGTGGAACCACAAGACCAGGTTATCAGGAGTGGTGTCGAGATTTTCGTAAATGGCTGCCACTTCTGCGGGATATTGGCCTGTGTAACCCGTACCCTTTGATACGGTACGATCCATGCCAATTGACCTGTGGTCTGCACGAGTCCATTGCCCCCATCCATTGTTGTCTTGAGAAGCAGGATTCGGTCCGTAGTGGGTGTACAAAATATCCGTCAGCGTCTGTATGCCCAAGTTACCGCTGTAGTTCTCGTAGGCCGGCCACGATTCCATGGACATTCTTGTAAGAGTTTGGAGGACTTCACTGTCCAAGCCAAAGGTCAAACGGGCCCAATCCTCCAGCACCTCCTGTGCACCCTCTGTGGGGTCCCATGCTAGACGACCATATGCGTAGAGGTTCGACATGGAGAGGTGGCTTCCGAGCCAGGTTGCGTTTGTACCCACGTTGACGACAGCTGCCGAACCACCTAGTTTGCGGTTGAACCGCTTGCCAGTATAAATATCACGGACTACAGAAGGCTGTCGATCCACGCGAAGATCAAAGTCCATGACTGTCTTCCAGAGCGGGGGCAAGTAAAGAAGATGCGACTGTTGTCCGAGATACTCCTGCGTGACCTCTAGCTCCAGGGCGGTGTTGGTGTGGAATAGATTCGCAAACAAGGGTGACGTAGGCTCGCGGACCTGAAAGTCGATGGGTCCGTACTTGATTTGGATGATGACATTCTCATCGAATTTGCCATCAAGAGGCTTGAAGAAGTTGACTGCGGCCTTGGCACGGTCTGCCTTCCAGTCGGACTCGTTGAGCTGATTGTAGACGAAGGCGCGGAACATGACGATACCGCCGTATGGTTGGAGGGCTTTGGCGAAAAGGTTCGCTCCCTGGGCCAAGGTTCGGTTGTATGTCTCTGGACCCGGTTCACCTTCGGAATCGGCCTTGACAAGATAGCCTGCCATATCGGGAACACGTTTGTAGATTTGGGCTGTGACGTTCGTCCACCACTGAATCACGGATTTATCCAGGGGATCATAGGTGCTGAGGCCACCCAGAATCTGGGGCGTTGCGAAATTGAGTGAGATTCCAAGCTGTACACCATAGGGACGGAAGGCATCGGCAATTCGACCCAGTCCTTCGATGTTCTGAGGTGTCAAGGTGGTGGCGTTGGCATTCACATTGTTGACAACCACCGCATTGATCCTGATAGAGGCTAACAAACGAGCATATTGGGCGGCCCGGCTTAAGTCATTGACAATACCTCCATCTTTGAAAAAGATGGACTCTCCTCCATAGCCACGCTCGATGCTACCATCCATATTATCCCACTGGTTGACCCATCGTACTGGCGCAGACGGGTTCGTTGCATAGGCCACCTCGGAAAAGTTCCCCTGCGCAAGCATTGACAAGTATTCAAAGGCACCATAAAGTGCACCTCGTTCATTTTGACCCAGGATCTGAACACCCTGGCCTCTGGTGCTCAGCCAGAAACCATCTTCATCCAGCGCCGGAAGCTCCTCCACATGGCCACAAGTTTGACGGTACTGGTCAATTGTGCCGACCACAGCGGAATCTGGTTCGCACTGACTGTGTGCAATATGAGCGTGGCTGCCATAGATGTCCTTCAATCCTTTCTGCAGCTCTGAGCCCGCAACGTATACCGGGCTTGTCTCGGTGGCATTCAGGGCAACAATGGCGGACGGCAGGTTGCGGCGACACTGGCTGGAGCATGGCAGTGATTCATAGCGTAGCCAGCCCTTCAGGCCATTCTCGGCGGCAACGAGACCGAGCGAGGCGAAAAATAGAAGAGGTTTCATTGTGTTGCATCTATGGTCTGGAAAGAGCCATCATTGCTCAATTCCTGGCGTACTACTTTATACTAGCCTCTTAATGTCGGCGAAAGCAAAACGACGCAATATGCAAATTTCAGGCTAAATGGCTCGACCGGCGTGTCGAGGATTTCAGGCTATGTAGACTGATCGGCGTGCGGAGATGAGTTAGGTTCTACACTACAGGTGGAGCTTTCGGGGTTTCTCTCCACAAATATTCCGTGGCGTTGGGGGTGTAACTTGGCAAACACTAAAGGAAATGAACTCGGGTAGATCTAAATGCAAATACAGGGATAATGAAATGTTTCAAAATCGATCTGATTGACTGGTAATGTCTACTGGCAAATGGGTTCCAGACACAAGACACCGAGACAATATCTCAAAAAAAGTATCCCTTCTCTAGTACGTCTAGGCCCCGATTTGGAGCAACATGCACCCCCAGCATAAAGTGACAGTGCCTTCAACGGCCATTGTGAAACGGGAGTCGGCTGAGGATAGATGATGCAAGGTAATTTTAGTCCATGTGTGATGTCAGCCACATAGACTAGCTGAGGCTTGTTTACGCCTCACGGCTCAAAATATCCGAGTCACCGGCATCCAGCACGGCCATAGCCGAACAGCGGAAGAGTTTACCGCACGCGGTACCGAGTTCAATCTATACTAGTATTAGTCGATTTACGCTCTCCAGGATTCCAATTTAGGGAATCCTATCGTTGAGCAACTTCACTCTCCGAAGTGGCCGAGAACCAACTTCTTCGCTGAGTAGTGGAGCTGGCTCCTCCGGGAACGACACCTGATAAGGATATCGTCCAAGGGAGGCAGGATGGTTGAGTGACGTACATTGTTTCCGTTGAAGTGGTGCACTGGGGTCTTCGCGAGCATGGCGTAATCTGTGCGAGTCCGGATTAGTATCTGATGCGACAATTGTAGGTAAATTGGAGACATACATTCAAGCTCGGACTTGCGGAGGGGAGGGCAGTTGCCAGAAATGAGGACCAGCTTCGCCTTTCCGGAGCGAAGTGTTTTCATTGTGGACTTGGTTCCCATTGTGACTGCACAGAATTGTCAACAATTTGCTCTCGAGGGCGAGGTTTAGGCGAACGTACCCTTGCCCGACTTCATAACCAGGGCGAGGCGCGACGAAAGAGTGTCGCCAGACTTCTTGGTTTTGGCCATTGTAACGCTTATTGAGAGCTGTTGTTGGAATTTAGGTGTTTGGAAAGAGTTGGAGAATCTCGCACTCAAAAATTTTTCGAATCACCGACGTATGACTAAGCAGGCCCTAAACAGCACTCATCTGGGCAGATATGGCGATGCGCTGTAACTTGACAGCAATTGGAGATTGGTCTGTCAGCAAAGTGCTGGTTATAACCAGTTTAATAAATTATATTAATTGGTCGCAATAAGCTTGCATATCGATCAATTATCTCGGATATGCGTGTAGCGGAGACTATCCCTGTTCGACCCAACCAAATATACACAATCAGGTTATCGCAGTAAACAACCCCGTATGCAATTTCCCAAGCCAATTAACTCAGATCACCCATCAATAAATCCCCTTTAACAAGGTTAGTCATTATCGATGCCATTCATTTACCCCCGAGGTAATCCCCGAGATTAGTGAACTTTTGCCCCGCATCGCCCCAATATTTGTCAATTGGCCCGGAATCCCGCGTCAACATAACCATCATCGAGATAAACTTCCAGAACCGCAGCTGAGCAAGATTTCCTCGATGTCTTCTTCTAACCATCTGCCCCCCGTTGCTCCGGTAGCAAATCCTACGATACCGTTCTGGAGAAAGGAGCCGCACGAGCTAGATAACATCCGTACCACCCCCGAGCTACCAGAACAAAGTGACATCGTCATTATCGGCGGAGGCTATGCCGGAGTGAGCGTTGCGTATCACCTGGTAACCTCACAGCAACCAGAAAGACAGCCTCCACCTTCCATCACACTTGTCGAGGCACGACAGATATGCTCTGGAGCAACCGGACGAAATGGTGAGTCATGCCAAACGCACGCTTGGATCCTAAATCTGATGTTATAATTACCAAGGTGGACATCTGCGGCCCGATGTCTACGAGACGGTTGCACTGTGCCTTGAAAGACATGGGATTGAGGCTGCAATTGAGCTTGCGAGATTTGAGGTCTCCCATATCCCCGCAGTGAAAGCGGCCATTGCCAAAGAAAAGATTGATTGCGACTTCAATCTGACCCGGTGCATGAACGTGTACCTCAATGAGGAGCATGCTGAGCGGGCGAGACAGGCGTACGAGGTCCTGCGAGACCAGGGCGCGTCATACGTCGATGACATTCATTACACGTCGCAGAAAAACGCAGAAGGGGTATGCTCATTTTCTCTCGTACGTTGAATCATGCTGATAACCAACTCACAGGTCTCTGGAGTTCAAGACGCCAAGGCATGTCTTTCTTATACAGCAGGCAACTTGTGGGCATACAAACTCGTGATGGGCCTCCTTTCGAGAGTGGTGCAGTCGAGCTCTGTCAATGTGCAAACCACGACGCCGGTGACATCTGTGACACCCGATGGATCCCATCATCTTGTGCACACTCCTCGAGGTACCATTCGTGCATCTAAAGTGGTCTATGCAACCAACGCATACACCGC